TAATTGAACTGTCTTTTCTCAGAGATATATGCTTTAACCGCATCCAGCTGCTTGTGTGTATTGGGAAATCTGACTATAATACAGAGGAGCTAAATTAAAAGAAGCCAGCATTGCAGTAACTACGGTGATTGAATCGGGGAGGGGAAAGTATGGACTGGGAGGGGAAAGGTTTGGAGGGGGAGAGATGATCAATATTGCCACCCCTTCCCCACCCTTAAAAAAAATGTTTCTGGTAATGTATTTTGGAGAATGTGAAAAAAAAAGCTGTGGAAATGTTAATGATATCCACAGGACACTCAGCAGGAAATGAGAGCAATCTGGGACTAATAAAAACCGAAATGTAATTTGCGCAGATATACGAGGCAAAGGAAAAGGTGCAGGCAGTTTCATTTGGAACAGCCCAGAGTTTCACACATTCTGGGCTCATAAAATATGCTGTATACAGCAGAATGAGAGCAGTCCAACCTTCCCAAGTCAAGCTGGGCAGACACTACCACCCCACCTGGGGAAAACTAACCACCTTTGTCCCCTAGAGCAGGAGATTTACCTGACTAAAAAGGCCCCCTTATGACCCAAAGCACAAAGACAAAAATTAAGTGTGTGGGAGGGTGAATCTTGTTAGTGAGATATGTGAACAGAAAGTGGTAGCTCTGTCTCTGGGAAGAATGAGAATCATCCTGGGTCCAGTTCCCCCCATATGCTAGTGCCTTCCCCTAGTTTCCTTCCACTCATCTGAATGTTTCTTTAAAAAAATTAATTTTTGTTGTATTACATTGATATATTTACTTTTGTAATTGCCTGTTTCCCCTGTATCACACACACTCCTCCCCTTTCCCCTTTCAGAGAGACATCTCTCATCATAAAGAATTTAAAAAGAAGGGGAAAAAGTTCAACAAAACTAGCCAAAGGCAGTATTGCTCAGTGGAAACACCTTGGCTCTGGATTCAGAGGGTTTGTATTTAAATCCTGCCTCTGTTTACTTGGACAAGTCACTTAACTTTCCAGGGCCTTGCTTTCCCTATCCATAGAACATGGGGTTGGACTAAATAGGTTTCTTTTTTCTTTTTTCTTTTCTTCTCTCTTTTTTTTTTTTTAAAGGCAATTGGGGTTAAGTGACTTGCCCAGGGTCACACAGCTAGTAAGTGTCAAGTGTTTGGTCTGAGACCGGATTTGAACTCAGGTCCTCCTGACTTCAGGGCTGGCACCTCGCTGCCCCCAAACTAAATGGTTTCTGAGGTTTTCTCCAACTGGAGATCCATGAGCCTATGTCAGAAAGGTCTGAGGTTCCCATCTCCTCAAAGAAGGGCTGGTATCTTCTCATAATTCCTTAGGCCGCTGCTTGGTCATTAGGACTTCAAAGCATTCAGTTTTAGTTGTTCTTCCTAGTGTTACTGCGTATATTGATTTTCCTGGCCCTCCTCTTTTCCTTTTACATCAGTTCACATAAGTTTTCCCATGCTTCTTTGTATTTATCATATTCATCATTTCTTACCAGCACAGTAATATATCATCGCATTTATGCATCACAGTTTGCTGAGCCATTTCACAGATTACATATATCTATTTTATTTCTAGTTCTTTCCTACCACAAAAAATGCTGGTATAAATATATTGATGACATGGAACCTTCTTTTTTTGTCATCAGTCTCCTTGGGGACTCTTTCGGTCAAAGGGTCTCTCTGTTTTCATAATTCCAAAATGCTCTCCAGAATACTTGGACCAATCTATAGGTTTCATGCATGTGCCTATCAAAGTATGTGTTGTCTCCCCTGTTAGGATGTAAGCTCCTCAAGGGCAGGGGCTGTTTTTGCTTTTTCTTTGTATCTTTAGCACCAAGCACAATACCTGGCACACAGTAAGTGCTTAATAAATATTTAATGATTGATTGATTGTGACATTTCAAGCTGTCCAGGGAGACTGGGCCTGAAAGTCAAATTAGGCTGCAGTACTTGGTTCATTTCAGTGTATGAGAATGTGTCTGCTTTCTTCCCCTGAAAATCAAGAATTTCTTGAAAAGAACAGTGTTTTGAATTTTCTTTCTTTTAAAGAAAATCAAACTAGAAACTTTTTTTTTCTGGGGGAGACATTAGATGGAACTTAGACTTTGCTTCATGTGTGGTAAGGAGACAGAGAAAGATCAAAATCCTGTTCTGCGTAACTTTGGTTTGACACTTCTCAGTGGACACCTTGTGTAATATTTTATATGAGCCACCTAGGGATGGAATTGAAGTAGGGAAATAGGGCGAAAGGCTCTTCTTTTCCTTGTTAGAGTAATGTTTTGTAATAAATTCAGTGAGAGGAGAGAGAGAGAGAAAAAGGGAAGGGACTTCCCCTGGTTGAATATTAATATTCAGAGCCCGGATGAGAGATGATTTGAAAGTGTGTGGGTTTGTGGCAAAACAGGAGAGACAGGCTAGTTGGAGAGATTGTCCTTGCAGTCACAAAAATTTCTGGGATCTCCAGGTAGCTCATACTCTATCTCCCTCCCTCCCTTTCTCTCCACCCATGCCTTGGCTTCACAGAGCATGATGTCTTTTCATCAGTGAAGAAGGAACAAGCTATTCCCTCCAGCTCCAATAGAGTCCTGGCTTCAGGGTACTAGCAGACAATGACTTCAGTTTACCTAGAGAGAACATATGGATTCTTTCAAGCTTGTTCCTGGAGTGTCCTGGAGAGCAATCCGTTTTCTCTGTTTGCTATTCAGGTTAACCTAGCTACCTCCCACACCCTCTGCTTTTCCTTTCTCCATGTTAGTCACTGCAGTGGGATATGCTCTGGAAATGTATGGATGACTGAACTGGAAAATGGGTTTGTAAAAGAGGGTGATTCCATGGGAGAAGAGCGTCCATTTGAAGAACAGTAAAACTCCCCTTCTCATGGCTTCACTCTCAATTTTTCAACATTTTGCCCTCGTGCTCCCATGAAGAGCTCTAGGAACAAGCATTGTGTCCCTCTTTTCTAGATTTGAGTATGAGAAAGAGGGAAAGTACCTTCCTTAGGATTGGTTTTGGTTAATCTAGGCTGAATCTTTCCTGTCTGCTGGCACGTGAAGTTGTCCAGGCAAGGAACATAGCTCTGTGGGAAAGATCATCTCCCAGGATCAGAGCAGAGTGCCAAAGGGAGGAGACAAAACCTTGACTCAATTTCTCCAGAGCCAAAAGGCATTCCTGTGATCCATGAGGAAACATATGCTAAAAGCATGTCTATGGCCAGTTGTAACCCTTCTTTCCTCTCCTCCATTCCCACTCCAGCCAGCCACCTCTAGCCTAGAGTGACTAAACACTTCGTTTTGGTATGGATCAGAGGATCGCAGATTTAGAGCCTAAAGGGACCTGTTAGAGACCATGATCTCCTCATTTTGCAGGAGGAAAACAAGATCCAGACAGGTTGAGTAACTAGCTCAGTCTCATAAGTAGTAAGTGGTAGACCTGGAATTTGAACAGGGATTCTTTGACTCAAGACCCAGAATTCTTTCTATGTACCAAGATACCTCCCAGGTTATGCTATTTAAAAAAAATGTTTTGGCCTCTATCTTAGAGCTTCTTGTTTGAGTGGCAGTACACTTTTCAAGAAAAGGCACCTCTGGTCAGCCTTAATGTAAAGGCATTCAAGTCTTCTTCCCAAATTAATTCCCTATCCTGGGACTTTATCTTATTTAAGGGTCTCATTCCAAGGGTAAAAGAACTTGCTGCTGGTCAGGCCCCCCAGCACTAGCTTGTAAGTCAGATAGGTCTACAGTATATTGCCATGACTTTGACCTGTCCCTAGACTCCTATTGAAGAGGAGTTAGGGAGCCCAGCTCAGGATAGGTAAAGGGCACATCTGTGTGTGCCCCACACCTCGAAGTTTAGAGAGCTTGAAGGGGAGGTTTATGCCTGACTGCCTTAGACACATGCTGGGGACATGCCTGCAGCATTTTCACTAGTGGATAAAGAGAATTCTTCAGCGTCCAGCGCTACTGCTCTTTTATCCTTCATTAGTATTCACTCCCTCACTCGTGGGCACATAATCTGTTTATCTACCTATAATATCTAAAACATGAGGCAGGTGCGGCTGTCCCATCCCTAACACAATTGGGAATAGGAAAAAGGGACATTTCATGCCTACTGTGGCTCACTGATGCTCTAATAGACGTCTGCTTTAAGGAACAGACAGATTCCAGATGGTATCGCATCGACAGAGGAGGTTATTGGTGGGTGTGTGTGTGTGTGTGTGTGTGTGTGTGTGTGTGTGTGTGTGTTGTGCTCCAGCGCGTGCTCAGTAGGGGGAGGAGATGCATTAGCAGGGAGTCAAAATGACTTTTCACCTGCCAGTTGAATGAGCTGGTTTCAGTGCCCAGCACGGTTAGGTCAAACTGGAAATTTCAAATGCTGCGACTAGATTACAGGATCCAGAAATCCCAAGGGAAAGCAGGAGTGGGAATCACACTACTGTGGGATTTTGATCTGTCAGAGGAAAAACGGGGAGTGATGATGGGGAGGGGCGCAGGGCGGGGAGTGTTGGGGGACAAGTGAGGAGGGAGGGCAGATGGCAAAAGGGCAGGGAGGAAGGGAAAAAGCAGGAGAGTGAGCTATTGAGAGACCTAATAATACAAGTCAGCCAGTTCAGACACCTGCATTGGTTGCCTGGTCCTTGGCAAAGCTGAGCTGGAAGGGATGATCCGGCTGGAGTTACAAGCTCAACATTACTGACACAGAAAATGCCAATATGTGCACAACTGGTGAGGAATCAAAGGCAAAGGGGAAAGAATATTTTAGAAGGTGGAGGAGGGGGATAGAAAGGATGGGAAATAGGTGGGGACCCAGGGTGCTTGCCGCTTCTGCTCTGCGAGCAAAGGGCTTTTATCACGAGAACAGCAGCAGCTAAACACGCCAAACACTGGCACGGCTTTCAGAGGGAAAAGAACACGGTCCATTTGAATCCTCTCTGTTTCTTGTCTCTCCCTCTCTCTCTTCCCCCCTCCCCCCCCACCATCTTTCTCTCTCTTTTTCTTTTCACAGATAACCAGTCTGAGCCATGCAGTCTTTTCGAGAAAGGTGTGGTTTCCATGGCAAGCAGCAGAACTACCAGCAGACTTCACAAGATTCATCACGCCTGGAGAATTACAGGCATCAGAGCCAGGCAGGGCTGAGCTGCGAGAGGCAGAGGCTGCTGGCCAAAGAGTACTACAGTCAGCAGCCTTACCCGGCTTATGACAGCACCGCCTCCGCGGCCGCCGATAAATACCACCGAGGGAATAAGCCCATTCCTGTCCAGCAGCCACTCCAGGGGAGACCGACCTTTTCCAGTTACAACGTCCAGGAGAACAGTCCCTACCCAGCTCGGTACTCGGGAGAGGAGAGCCTGCAGACATGGGGAGCCCAGCAGCAGGCCCTCGCAGGAGGGGTAGCCAAGTATGAAGAGAACTTGATGAAAAAGACAGCCGTGCCCTCTGGTAGCCGCCAGTACCAGGAGCAGAGTACTCAGCTGCCCTTCCGGACTCACTCTCTGCACCTCCAGCAGCAGCAGCAGCAGCAGCAGCAGCAACAGCAGCAACAGCAGCAGCAGCAGCAGCAACAGCAGCAGCAGCAGCAGCTGCAGCAGCAGCAGCAGCAGCAACAGCAGCTGCAGCAGCTGCAGCAGCAGCAGAACCCCCTGACATACCCCAAGCTCCAAAGGCAGAAGATCCAAAATGACATCGCCCCTATGTCCTTTCCCCAGGGCTCTCACTTCCCCCAGCATTCCCAGTCCTTCCCTACCTCCTCCACCTATTCTTCGGCCGTCCAGGGGGGAAATCAAGGAGCTCACTCCTTTAAGAGTTGCACTGCCCCATCCAGCCAGCCCCACGAGAGGTCCCTGGCTAGCAATGCCAACCTGACTCCAGGGCAGAGGGTACAAAGCCTGCACAGCTACCAGTCAGGCAGGATCAGCTACGACCAGCAGCAGCAGCAACAGCAGCAGCAGCAGCAGCAGCAGCAGCAGCAGCAGGCTCTCCAGGGCAGACACCATGCCCAAGAAACGCTGCATTATCAGAACATAGCCAAATACCAACATTACAATCAGCAAGGGCAGAGCTACTGCCAGCCAGATACCCCAGTGAGGACCCCTGAGCAGTACTACCAGACCTTCAGTCCTAGCTCCAGTCATTCCCCGGCACGGTCCATGGGCCGGTCTCCCTCTTACAGCTCGACTCCGTCCCCACTGATGCCCAACCTGGAGAACTTCCAATACAGCCAGCAGACACTCAGCACGGGAGCCTTCCCTGCCAGCATCACAGATCACAGCCACTTCATGCCCCTCCTGAACCCTTCCCCAACAGACGGGACAAGCTCAGTGGACGCCCAGGCGGTGAATTGCAAGAATTTACAGAAGGAGAAAATCCCCGAGAACCTGCTCTCAGACCTCAGCTTGCAGAGCCTGACTGCTCTCACCTCGCAAGTGGAGAATATTTCCAATACTGTGCAGCAACTTCTGATGTCCAAATCTACTGTTCCCCAGAAGAAAGGCATTAAGAACCTGGTTCCCAGGACCCCGGAGCAGCTCAAAGGTCAGCATTGCAGTCCAGAGAGTGGCAGCTACTCTGCGGAACCTGTGGGCACCCCTCTGTCGGAGCCTCTCAGCAGCACCCCGCAGTCCATTCATGCAGAAGCCCAGGAGGCAGACTACCTGAGCGGGTCAGAAGATCACTTGGAAAGGACCTTCCTGTATTGTAACCAGACCCGAAATAGCCCTGCCAGGGTCAACAGCAACTCCAAGGCCAAGCCTGAGTCAGTCTCCACCTGCTCGGTTACCTCCCCCGATGATATGTCCACCAAGTCTGACGACTCCTTCCAGAGCCTCCATAGCAGTCTGCCCCTTGACACCTTTACCAAGTTTGTGGCCAGCGACCGGGAATGTCCCCGCCTGCTGCTCAGTGCCCTGTCCCAGGAAGAGCTGGCTTCGGAGATCATCGTGTTACAGGAGGCCATCAGTGAAAAGGCTGATAAAGGCTGGAGTGAGTCTCCTGTCCTGACTAAGGACCCCAGCAAGTCCTCCTTCTCTTTAGACAACCACAACACCTGCCTAGACCCTGTGGGCAAGAACACCTGGTCCCACCCAGACGAGGCAGAAACCCTACCTGATCCCCTCCACATCAATAAAGGCAACAGTACCAAGGACTTTAGCGAGGAGCTGTTTGAGGATCCCCCTGTGGGGTTCACCATGCCTGAAACCAAGAAATTACCCTGTTCTCTTCCATATGGTCCCAAACCGAATCTCCCAGATGCCCCGTCTAACTCTGGGACGGCTGCTTTTGGCTGCTTTCCTGATACGACCGCTGACTCCGTGGGTTCTGGTGACAACGCAAACCCCTTTGCTTGGCCAGAGGAGAACTTGGGGGATGCCTGTCCCAGGTGGGGTCTACACCCCACAGAACTTCCTAAGGGACTGGGCCGAGGGAAGCCTCCCGAGGGAACTGGCAAAGAGAAAACAAATGATACAGTTTGTATGGGCTTCCCCGAGGGAGAGCCAGCAAGCGAGAAGGAGGAGGCAAGAGATTTCAAGCAGGAGGAGGTCAGAGAAGTGAAGGAGGAGGACGATATCCTGGGCTGCCAGGAGGCCAGCAAAGCTGATCGATGGCTGGAGGACAGTAGGCACTGCTGCCCGGCTGGTGACTTCAGTGATATCTCCTTGCTGCCCTCCGCAGAGAGGAAAGACCTGGAGGCAGAAGAGTACTCCTCCCTCTGTGAGCTCCTGGCCAGCCCGGAGCAAAGACCTGTTCTGCAGGATCCATCTCCCCCAAAGACCCCACTGATCTGCACCAAGGAGGAGCCCGACGGGTCTCTCAGCCCAAAGGCCAACTGGGTTTCACCCTGCCGCCTCTCCGGGGAGTCAGTCATCCTGCTGGGCCCAGCTGTGGGTACAGAGTCCAAGGTGAAGAGCTGGTTTGAGTCATCTCTGTCTCACATGAAGCCGGAGGAAGGGACAACCGAGAATGAGACCATGCCTCCGGAGAATATAACCCCCAGTGCCCCTCTGCCTGGGAAGCTGAACAAGCCAGCATTACCTGAAAACACTTTGGCCAAGAAAGGGCCGCTGCCTCGAGGGAAGAGCCTGAGGAGCCGGCGGGTGCAGAGAGGGCTACCAGAGGGAGAGGAGTCTGGCTGCAAAGCCCCAGATCTGCCCAAGGACCTTTCACTGCCAGAGCCCTGCACGGGACAGCCCCAAGGGCACACCGAAGGAGCCGGCGCCCCTGGCCAGCTGGGTCCTGCCGGGAGGGTCGTGACCGAAGGGCTGCCCAGAATGTGTACCCGCTCTTTCACCGCCCTCAATGAGCCCCGAACCCCTGGCTCCCACCCACCGAGCCTAACCGGGGCATCCTCCCAACCTGAGAAGCTGGGGACAAAACAGAGAGCCAGTTTCAAGTCTGGGAAGAGAGCGGGAAAACTGTCCCCTAAGGTGGCTTCCAGCCCCAGTGACCCTGCAGCTTTGCCAGTGCCCAGCCTAGCCCAAGAGAATAGCTCCATGGGGCCCAAGATGAAGGAAACTGAGTCCCCAGATACCCCAGCAAAGGACCAGAGGTCCATGATCCTCCGGTCTCGGACCAAAGCCCAGGAGCTCTTTCACCCCAAGCGGAGGAGGCCTACGGAAGGGAGGCTGCCAAACTGCAAAACTGCCAAGAAGCTCATGTCTAATAACCACCTACCACCCAGCTTCAAGATGCCTGGCAGTGCCCAGAAAGAGGGGAAAGCAAACCGGAGGGTGAAACTCCCCAAACCTGCATCGACCGTGGGAGGTAAGCTGCCCGAGCGCCAGCTGCACTCGCTGAAGAGGAAGTCCACCTTCATGTCCCCAATTCCAGCAAAGAAGAGGAATCTGATTCTCCGAAGTGGAGGTAGCCCTGGGAACATCAAGGAGGAGAAGGCCGAGACTTCCCCCAGCCTCTTCAAGAGGATCTCCAGCCCCAAAAAAGCCAAGTCCACCAAGGGTACCTGTGAGTCCGCCCTGAAAGCCACTCCTCCGGAGACCCCCAACGTCTGTATCAAAATCACTTCTCGAGCTGCCTTCCAGGGAGCTATGAAGACCAAGGTCCTGCCTCCCCGCAAGGGCAGAGGCCTAAAGTTGGAAGCCATCGTGCAGAAGATCACCTCTCCCAGCCTGAAGAAGTTTGCATGCAAAACAGCCACGGCGGCAGCGGCGGCGGCAGCGGCAGCGGCAGCGGCAGCGGCGGCCGCCGCAGCGGTGGTGGCTCCAACCCACAGTAATCCTCTGAGCCCTTCCCTCCCCGAGAAGGAGAGGGCCCTCAAGAAGGCCGGTGCCAGCCCAGCCGGGGGAGAAGCAAGGCCCTTAAACCCGGGCATGGCTCAAAAGCCTCCCGCGGCCCCCGGAGCAGAGCAATTATGCAGAAATTCCAACAACAGATCCTTAAAAGGAAAACTAATGAACAGTAAGAAACTGTCCTCTGACTGTTTCAAGGGTGAGGCCTGTTCATCTCCAGAGACACCGCAGCAGCAAGAGGAGCAGCAGCAGCACGGCGGCGGCGGCGGCGGCGTGGACGCTGCGAAAAGTCTCGGCCTGGTGACCAAGAAGAGGAGCCGAAAGGGGAAGGCAGCAGCCCTGGGCCTGGCCAAGCTCCCCCTGGAGAAGCGGGCGCATCTGGCGCCAGGCCTGCTCTTGGCCTCCAGGGAGAGGGCGGCTGTGGGGGGTGCCCTGGCCGAGGGCGGGGAGGACGGGGAAGGGGGAGGAGGCAAGAAGCCCAGCTTGGAGGACAAAGGCCTGAGCTCAGAGCCCCCCGAGGGCAGGGCCTCGCAGCCCCAGACGAGGGCCCAGAAGCAGCCCGCGGGCCAGGCCAGCTACAACGGCGGCTACTCCAAGCGGCAGCGCAAGCGGCTCACTCGAGGCAAGGCCAAGAACGTGGCTTCCCAGTGCAAGAGCCGGGCCAAAAGGCGAAGACAGCAGCAGCATGCTCCCCCCTTGGACCCCGCTGAGCCTGAGATCCGACTCAAGTATATTTCCTGCAAAAGGCTTCGGACTGATAGCAGAGCCCCACCCTTCTCCCCCTATGTGAGGGTGGAGAAGAAGGATGAGTTCACTACCACCTGTACTGTGGTCAACTCCCCTGGGGAAGAGCCCAAGCCCCGAAAGGAGAAGCCTTCCTCGTCCTCCTCTTCCTCCTCCTCCTCTTCCTCCTCCTCTTCTTCCTCCTCCTCTTCCTCTTCCTCTGCTGCCTCTCCTACCACCTCCTCCTCTGCCCTAACCACCCTCCCAGGGGGGGCCTCCCTGCAGGCCCGGGCTGTGCTGCCCCTCTCATCCACAATGCACCTGGGGCCCGTGGTTTCCAAAACCCTGAGTGCGGCCTGCCTGGTCTGCTGTCTCTGCCAAAACCCTGCCAACTACAAAGACCTAGGGGACCTCTGTGGGCCCTACTACCCTGAGGACTGCCTGCCCAAAAAGAAGTCCAGGCTCAAGGAGAAAGTTAGGGCAGAGGGGCCAGGGGAGGAGGCGGCACCCCCCCTGGAGAGAACACTCAGAAGCCTGGAGAGCCACTGCTTGGCTGCCACCGGCCCTGGGAAGCCACCCAGGCTGGATGTCGCTGCTGACTCAACGAAGCAGAGCACTCTGAGGTCAAGCTCCCGAGGCCTCTACAGGAAGCTCCAGAGCTGCTACTGCTGTGACGAGCAGAGGACGGAAGACGAGGAGGCCGCCTCTATGGCCACCACTGCGGCGGACAAGCCAAGGAAGCACGAATGCAGCAAGAGCGAGGCGCCGCCGCCTCCGCCGCCGCCGCCCGAGCTGAATGGAGACACGCAGGAGCACTGGGTGCACGAAGGTTGTGCCATATGGACTGCTGGCGTTTACCTGGTGGCCGGGAAGCTGTTTGGTCTGCAGGAGGCGATGAAGACGGCTGCAGATGTGGTAAGACCACCTCCCTGGGATGGATCGTGACAGGAGCTGTGGGGACTGGGTGCTGGGAGCTTAGGTCCTGACCCAACTGAGCAAACACTTCCCCTGGTTCAGTGCCTCACCTGCCTTACGTATAGGAAGCCCGGGGATGAAGGGAATGGAAGGAATACACATTTCTTAAGCACCTACTACCCGCTAGGCACCGAACAAATATTATCTCACTTGAAGATAGGAAGATACCTCCCTAGTACTCAGAAGGATGCCTTGGGAAGCCCTGAAATACCACTAGAAAATTCTCCTGGCAAACTGTAAAGGGCATTTGTTCTCCTGACCAAACCTAACACCCAAGGTTAACTAGTTCCTTAACATGGGTTGGGGAATAGGGGAATTATGTCTGTTAAGGGGAGGGAAGAAAGTGAAGAGGATCTGACGTTAGCATCTGAAGGAAGCCAGACCTTGAGAGTAGTGGAGGTATGAGGGTAGGTCCAGGCCCACCAGATTCAGGACATATCCCTCCAAGCATCTCCAGAGAGTCTTAGCATTTCCTACCCAGACTGTGACATTGGCCTCTGAAAGAGAATTCCCCAAGCATTTCTCTTGCTGGGGGAAGCCTGCTCCCATTCCCATCACTACACCCTTTGCCCAGACTTGGGGTGCAGCCTTGTTGTGGGAGCCTGGGACTGAGTCATTCACAGACCATGGGTTTTTCTTCTGCCTTTGACTCAACCTGTGTTGGGCGTTTCCTTATCCCAGTTCACTTAGAACCAAAGACTAATTAGAACTAGAGGGAAGTAGCTCGTACAGCCCAATCTCTTCATTTTACAAAGAAAGAAATCAAGGCTCAAAGTAGGGAAATGGCTTGCCCAACGTCACACAGCTAGTTCAATCCACGTTGCTTTATGTTCTCCCAGTTTTCTTTCTTCTTGCAACATCACATACTTTCTCCTTCCTTGGTTTCCCTCACCTTTAAAATAAAAACAACCAGATTGCACTCCCTAATCCCCCACCCCACCCTACCTCTACTCAACATCCCAGTAGCTTTGAGGAAATCTTCTATATCTGAAATGATAGGAATCAAGCACCGAGTATAAGAAAATCTAGGTAGGCCACAGTGATGTCTGAGAACCCTTCTTACCCATCGTGATCCAGACAACGGAGATATTGATATAACAGGACGTCTTATAAATGAGGTCATACTCTTTTATTGTAATAGCCCTTAAAGGGCCAGTCAAAATTAATGCTGTCATGGCACCAAAGATGAGGTCAAAGGGAAAATATGAGTCACCTTGGTTTTGTTGCAACATGTCCTGCTCCGTATAACTGAGACCTCTCAGGATCAGCATCCAGCACCCCGACATCCTCCCGAGGTGCCCTGAGAATGTTGGGCCAGCTGCTTAGCTGAAGGACAGGCACTCGTGTATTTGTGGAAGAGGCTGACGTGACTGTCTCCATTGTATTTTGGTCTGTAGGTGGCATGGGCATGTCTGCGAGTTAGCAGAAGGGAGGAACTTGGTTTTCAGGCCAAATAGAGTTAAGAAACATTCCCTGCCTTAATCATGATGAGAGAAAGAAAGAGGTGATTGGATTCTTATGTAGCCAACCCAGTCCTTCCCTTCTCTTGTCAATTATTCAGTTTGGAAAAAAAAATTTTTGTCAAATGCCTGCCATGTGCATTTCTATTCTAGGAGCTATGAGATATATGAAATTGAATGAGGCTCAGCCTTTCTCTTCAAGGAGTTTGCAGTCTAATTAGGGAAAGAAGGCATGGGCAGAGGCATGGTGGTGGGCGAGCCAAAGGCATATTTAAGGGATAGTCCCCCAACTCATCCTCTTCTCGTGTTCCTCACTTCTTATTTGTCTGTTCATTTCTACTTCTACGCCTCCTGCCCACTATCTTTTTCATATTTGATCTTGCCTTTGGTTTCTTCCCTCTGTGGAAATTAAGATGAGAGGACTTTCCCGTCTCCCCATAGTTCCAGAGCTGGGCTGCTTTCCTACCCAATGTCAGATGCTGCCCCCTCTTCTGTCACTCCAGCTGAGCTGGGAGTCAAGAACAGGTGCAAATGAGCACTTTTCCTTCTCATTTTCTGGCTTGCCCTCATCCCCCAAAAGAAAGACCTGGTGCCCACTCTGAGCTGGGGTGGCACGGGGAGGAGGGAGTGAGCAGGTTAAGAACAGCATCTCAGCAGGAACTTTTTGTGTTAAGATGCCAAGAGGATGCTTACCTGTGAACCAGCTCTCCCCCCACTAAACCAGTGTCATCACTCCAGGTGGCTTGGGCAGGATCTAAGGAGCCTGCCGAGCAGCAAAGCCTGGTTCAGTCTCAGCTGGGTTCCCTGGGTGATGCCCTGGGGAAAGAGCTGACAGAAACATGGGCAGGCAATGGTTTGCAGAATATACCCCAGTTCCAGTTTTTGCCTCAGCATCATTTTCATTCCATGAATTATCTTTCCCAAGGAGCTCCTTTCAGTGACTATCCTGAACCCACTGCCTTTCCCCCTTCTCCTCTTTGGAAAGGAGGAGCTGGGAACAAGCCTGTCCCATGCTAAAGGACTCAATTCTGCCCTTGCTTTCTCATGTCCTGGGACATATGCAAGGACAGTAGCATACCATCTGCCTTTTAGAAATGCCTGAAAGATTGGTTCCCAGAAAAGTTTGCTGACTCTGTTGAGCAGGTAGGCATCTGCTTTGCAGCCTGGGGCTCGCTCTGCCTTTTATGTGCTTTTCTGAGGAGGAAGACGTCACAAAATAGGGCATTGTCATCTTTTTCCCAGTGACTGGTAGAGTTCAGATGAACAACAGGCCGTCACCAACCCAGAGTGGTCTCAGTCAAAGCCCATGCCCCCAGGATGGCATCTCTTCCCACAATCCAGCACTCAGCAGTTCAAGTGCACAGCAGTTTTGCTACCACAAGTGGGGGCAATCTTGAAGTTCATTCTACATGTAGTAATAGAATTGCAGAGTATTAGAACTGGAGAATATTTCAAGTTTGTAGATTTTAAGCTGGAAAGACCCTTAGAGATCTAGTCCAGCCCTTCTCTTCCATTTTAAAAATGAAGAGACAGGCCCAGAGACATTAAGTGAGTGGCCTGAGGTCACACAGGTAGCTAAGTGGCAAAGCAGGATTTGAACTCATTCCAGATCTGGCCCTCATTCCACTGGCCCACCCAGCCCCTCACTGGACACATGAAGTAAAGTGACTTGGCCAGAGTCACAGAGTGAATTAGTGGCTGAGCTAGGATTAGAACCCACATCCCTGACTTCTCAATCAAGCACTTTCCCCACCATTCCACATTTCACTGTCTCTAGTTGAATTCCATCTAAAATGCAGCTTCACGTTGATACTCTACCCTTTGCAGAAGTGTAAAGCACTAAAGACAACCCCATCCAGCCCTAAGATCTTTTAGGCTATTGGGCTCTGACAAATGAGGTTACAGTTCTTGGTGGATTCACCCTTCTTCCCCCCAGCCCCTTTTGGTCTATAGGGGAGTGAGGTCCTTTCATGATTGGGCCCTGGGTTTACCCCCATTGGGTTCTGGTCCAAACTGCTGCCCCAACAGTCAGCCCCCTTGCCTCAGTAGGGTCTGTTGGTACCCCACTGGCACCACCCCATCTCATATACGCATGGATGAATATGTGTTTTTCCATCCGCCTTCACCAGCTGGTACTTTACAGTAAGGCCCTGTCCACTGTACTTTGCAATAGTGAATCCTGGATGTCTGGTCTATTCTTGTTCCTATGTCATTTTCCCTCCCCACGAACACACTCACTTGGATAGAGTACACCTTATCCCATTACATTGTCTTCATTCAGAGATTCCCCCCCCCAGTATACATTTGAATGTTAAAGGCATAAAGGCACCTTTCAGTTGGCCCTGGGCAACCCTCACACACATCATATTTGCAGTGTTAACAGAGACATTTTGTCTTCACAATCAGCCCTTAATTCAAAATCATTTTTTAGAGAGGGGGCATTTTGCCACTGGATACAAGAACAGTGGCTTTAGACCCTTGGGAATGATGCGTTCTGGCCTGGCCTCTTGAATATGGGTCTGGCCAGCTTGGGGAAATCAGCCCACTCAGATTTGGGGCCATTATCACAAAGGAGGAGACAGAATCCAGACAAGAGCTCCATCTAGGCAACAAAACTGATTGTGGCTGCTCTCTAGCTAATTCCCAATTAGATACCCTATGCCTTCCCAATGACGCAGGCTGTGTTCCAGACAGTGTCAGGAGATGGGAGAAGGCACACAGAGGGAAGCAAGAGAGATTAATGCCCCAGAGACATACGTCAGGTGGACAGCCATCCAGATGTATGAGTAAGCAGCCCCAGGATAGGGAGATGCTTCCCTGGCAATTAGCCAGCTCTTTCTCCTGGGAGGGAATGGGACGAGGGAGTGGGGGCAAATGGCCTTTGTCCTTCCTCTGGACACCCACAAGAGCTCTCTGTCTCTTGATAACTAAAGGCTCCTTCAGGGAGGCATTCTTATTCCAGCAGTAAACATCTGAGACTTGCTGTGGTTTGTTCTGAGGGCTCTGGGCCCCGTTCATTTTCAGGGTGAGAAGGAAGGGCTAGCTTCTCCATACAGTCCTGGAGGATGGGTTAGATTTAAGATGAATTGGTTCCTTCCTAGGAATCTTCCAGGACAATTTTGAAAAATGCATAGAGGCCAGAGAAGAAAGTCTCTTATTCAGGAGTGAGGCATGGGGGAAAAAAACAAAACAAAAACCTAGGCTCTGATGATTTGGGCCCAATATAGGGCCTGAGGCAGTGGCCATAGAGAGTACCATCCGTTCCCCAAGGACAGCTGCCTGGTGGCTGACTACAAAGGGCCTTGTACTGGTGGAACTTCTGAGGGGTGAGGGGAAGCAGCAAGGACCTCAGCCACTTGGAGACCTTATCCTGAGGCCTAGTCTCCTGAACTTTTGAATAATTTGGAAAGGGTTATCTCCCAGAGTTATCCACGTTTGCTTATTAAAATTATAATGGGCATTTACATGGTGCTTTAACGATTGCAAAGTATTTTACCTTCATTATCTCATTCGAACTTCACAAGCACCCTGTGAGGGAGCTGCCCACAAGCATTATTATTCCCATTTTATAGATGAGGAAACTGAGGCTCAGAGAAGTTAAGAGATTGTCGATGGCCATACATCTGGGTAAGTGTCAGAGGAAGGGTTTGAATGCAGGTTTCACTCTGTTTATTTTGGAGAAAGAAAATATTCCAGGAAAACTAATGGCTTATCCAGAAGGGCAGTCTGTTTGGTTGATTCAAACTATAGACAGCTGATTGACCCACCAGGAAATTTGGATTTCTGAGTGCCACTGAATTGCTTATCTTTTTTCCTCTCTACTGCTTCCCCTTTTTCTTGGATGTAAAGAGATGTTCCAGCTGCCAGCAAGTAGGTGCCACCCTTGGCTGCTGCCACAAAGGATGCCCCCAGACCTACCACTACGCATGTGCCAGTGACACAGGTAATGGACCATGGGGCCAGGACTTCTTGTTGGCCTTCTTCATAGCACTCTGGGAACCATGGGAGTGTGTGTGTGTGTGTGTGTGTGTGTGTGTGTGTGTGTGTGTGTGTGTGTGGTGGGAGGAGAGGGAGAAGGGTAAATGGGCACCATTTCAGGTGGCTTCTCGGGCCACCCTGACCTCTTTAACCCTATAATACCACATTGGCTTTCCTCTCCTTCCAGACATTTACTTGTTTTGATCCTAGACCCTCAGAACTATTAACAAAGCTATTTTGACTCTTTGGTTTCCCTGCCTCCTTCCCTATTTTTTTTAATGTCTTTTTCTGTTTTAATGTCCAAGACCTTGCTCCTCGCCACAAACAACTTGTAGTCCTTGTTCTTTCCCTGGACCCTCTTGCCTTCAATCAGAGAACCCCTAAGCTGGAAGGGACTTCAGAGCCCATTCAGTTCAACCCAAACAGAACCCTAATCCTTATCATTCTTTAGCCCAGTCCCACAACTTCCTCTCCCATTGTCTGATGGGATTAGAAGCTGCTCCTCAACTGTAGAGTTGTGCCTCAGCAAAATCATGGAGTAGATAAAGTTAATCTTCCCTCCTTTTAGCATCCATCAGTGCTCCCATCATATCCTGAATAATCATTCTGGTCACCTGGAAAAACAGTAGATCTGATAAATTCATCAGTCCTTCCCCAGTAATTTTCATTTTAAAAGGACTAGGACTGAAGAGGGAAGAGAATTTTACCCAAAGGAATGCTAATGGTAGAATGTAGGCATCAGCAGCATAGATGTTTTTAATCTGCTCTGCCTACATGTAAGGTTACCCCTTTCTACCATATGAAGCATATAAACCTCAGTAAAAGCCACCAGAAATCAAAAGCAGAATTCCAATTCCAGGCTGCCATAGTCCAGCAGCAATGGGGCACCTGTCTTCTTTATTACCTCATAAAATAAAAAAGCAGAGCAGTTGGTCACCAGTCAAGAAGGGAGAGCCAAGAGAGAAGCAGGTTAAACCTCTTTGTAACAGAGGAGTGCAGCTCTGGATAGCCTAGTTACATGGGCAGCTTTGTTGTGATGTGTTCCCTTGTGTTTTGTGTCTCTGAGAAAAGCCTTATTCTGTGGCTGTGAGCTGCTCGAGGTCTTAGACTGAGAACACACCAAAGAACCAGAGAGTTATGACTATGTCAGAGGGTCAATGACTGCTACATCCTGGACAACATCCTGTCTGGGATTACCTGAGTCATAAGCTACTGAATCTTGGCAGTCGGTAGCCTAGGAATCCTTACACAGTGGTCAGTATGCAGCCCCCATCCTCAGGGCTCTCCCCTCCCTCGCTGCTGGAGTCTGCCAGATGAGGAATTCATCTGTCGACAAGGAAATAGGTTGACACACTTCCAACTCCATTCCTTCTCAGGTGCGGGATCTTCAGAGAGTAGCAAGAAATTGCTTTCCTATTATAGAATGTTGGGGCCTCAAGTCAGCAGAGACTTCTCACCTTCAGGTTCTTACTAAGGGATTATGGGAGGGATTTGATGCGAGTGGCTCCAGATGTGGCCACAGAGTAGAAGGTCCAGTACCCCCAAATGTCCATGTAACAAGTAAAGCCAGCCGGTGGCTTACTTAGGTTTCTGTCTTACACATACACCCTTCTGGAAGGGCACTGTTGGTTTGGGGCTATGTGAATTAACAAGGAAGGTTAATTCAATTCAACATTTATTAAGTATCTAGTATGCCTGTCTGGATGGATATGCATTGTTCCAGTGTGGTCACTGGCTGTGAGGAAACCTTCCCATTGATGGCCTGTCAAGGCAACCGCAGATGGCCTTCTTCTAGAGAGCCCCTGATGGCAGCTCATGGGTGGCTCTTCTATCTGGCATTCGCCTCTGGGTACTGTCAGCAGTACGCTCAATTGGGGATGTTTTGGCCGTCTTCAGGAAAGAGCCTCTTCTCTTTCTTCCTACTTTGTCCTGGACTGGCTTCCAGCCCACAAGCTCCCCTTGGTGATCCTGGCTTTGAGTGTTGACATTTTGCTGGCACATTCCCTGGATGTTAGTGCTTACTGAGTGAATTAGGTTCCTGAGCATGGGGTTGTCTTTCAGGGTGTGTGCAAGGGGATATCCTTTGGAGATTGAGGGGTATGAGCTAGAAAATCATCACATGCACACTGTACCCCACCATGCAAACTTTTAAAATACAAACAAAGTAAAGTGAGTTTCCACTGATCATCAGGGATAGGCTTGAAAGAGGTCACAAAAGTGAATCCTGAAATGGGTGTATATAGAAGAGGGTATGGGGCAATCCCTAAGCATTGCCTTGGTAGTGGGAGGTGTGAATTGAACGTCTATATAAACCTCAGGGTGCACTTTAGTAACAAATGGGAGACTCTTCCCTCTCCTTCCTCTACCAGCTGCTTCCCTAAATCACTGCCCAGAGGCTCAGGTCTCCCCAGCATCATTATCACCCTGTTTCACCCTAAGGATGAAGTCTAGGTGACAGGAGAGAAAACTGCTGAAACTGACTTCATGACTGATGCTCCAAAAGCAGGGTTACTTACATCAGTCCCTAGTTAATTTTAATTTGATTCATTCAAAGAAACAGTTGTACCCACATACCATAGTGCCCCCCTCCAGACTCCAAAGGGTAGAACACTTTCCTTGGAAAGCTTCTAGGAACCACAGCCTAAAGAACTTACTCCCTCTTTCCCCCAGAGCAACATTGGCCAGCCATCATCTAGAAAACAGATTCTAAAAAGGTGAAATAATCATTGACCCAGTGGAGTTGAAAGTGTCTTGTTGGGGCAGCTAGATGGCGCAGTGGATAGATCACTGGCCCTGGATTCAGAAGGACCTGAGTTCAAATTTGACCTCAGACACATAACATTTGCTAGCTGTGTGACCCTGGACAAGTCACTTAACCCCATTGCCTAGCCAAAAAAAAAACAAAAACAAAACAAACATAAAAGGAAGGTGTCTTGTTTTTTCCTCTTTCTTTTTTCAAATTAAAAATTTTAATTAAAAACCCCACCTTATCTCCCTCCCAATCAACACCCCTTCCCTTTGCCCCTCCCAGCTGCTCTTGAGTAAGAAAGAAAAACAAAACACTTGTTACATACATGTACAGTCAAGCAAAACAAATTCCTGCATTGTCTGTGTCCAAACCCCCCCCAAAAAAAAAACTCAGTCCGTACTCCAAGCTCTTTCCTTTCCTCTCTGGAAGTCAGTAGCATGTTTGATCATGAGTCCTCTGGAATTATAGCTGGTCATGGGATCGTACAAGGTTCCTAAGTCTTTCAGAATTGTTTGTCTTTACACTATTGATGGCCTTGTATAAGTTGTTCTCCCGGCTGTGCTCATTTTGTTCTCCATCAGTTCATCCAAGTCTTCCCAGGTTTCTCTGAAACGAAGATTTTTTTTCAGTTGTTGTATGTATATGCCCAACTCCTGTGGGAAGTGCTTTGTACCTGTGTGTGCCTTCCCAGCCAAGTCTTTGATGGAGGGTTTCGGAAAGGTTTCAATGAGGGAATTCCAAAGGTGTTAGCAGGATTCTGGTATCCTGATGATAAGTGAACCAGGGGACTAACTGATTACCTTTATGATCTTGAGCCTGCAAAATACCTTTTTCTCTGACAAAACATGCCACCCCCACCCCCACCTTGCCTTGAATGAATAAAATTAACCAGAGATTCATGAAACAGAAAAAAAATTGAGAAGAGCAAAAAGGACCTGACCCACAAAGATTTCACCATCACAAATCTAGAAAACAGTCTGGCCTAGCCCTGGTTCATTGGGAGGAGATAGTCTATTTATATGATGTTTTATAGCTCCCAGCATATTTCCTCACAATATTCCTGTGTGAAGGAGGTAGTGCAAGATATTTTACAGATGAAGACCTGGGAGTCTGAGAAGCCCAGTGACATGCCTGAGTTCACACCTGGGGGGACCGGGATGGGGGAGGGGTGAGGAAGTAGGTGCAAGAGGTGATGGGTCCTGAGACAGTAACTCAGACCAGAGGGAGCAGAAGAGGTAATGCCCCCAGAATAATACTTTGGGCACCCTAAAACGTTCCTGCCTTGAGGCCAACTCCTAGTCCCCTTTCTTTAGTTATGGCTCTGGTTATGTACCTGTAGCTAGGGCTTAGGATTCCATTCTACCACACTTGCTCTCTCTGTCCTGTTTCCTGTTGGCTCTCGGGCTTGTCATCTGAATGAGGTTTCTTAGCCTTGGCTGTGTCATGGACTCTGGCTGTCTAATGATGCTTTGGACCCCTTCTCGGAAGACTGTTGTGAAATGCATAAAATAAATTGAATAATATTGAAATACAGTTAATTAAAATATTTTTAAAAGTAAGTTTACATGGCTGAAGGTTAAGAACCCCCTGTTTTAGAGTACTAAAGTGATACGGGTCAATCAAACCCCTTTGGTTGAGTATCACTGAAGGCCAGCCAAAGTCTTCTATATCTGACCATATCATACTCTCTATATTTGTGTAAGTGGGAGCACTTGTGTTTGTGAGCATGTGTGTATATATAAGTGTGTGTACATGTGTACTAAAGAGAGAGAGAGAGAGAGATGGAGAGACACAGAGAATTGGGCCTATAAACTTTTGAAGTCCATCCTAATGCTGTTTCTTGCTTTCCATCATGGTGGAGGAGAGATTTTTGGGTTTTTGCAGAACTCAGAGCCAACCACAATCCAATACAAATAGTACCCTGCTAAAAGCTGCAGGGAAAGAAGTAAAAATAAAAATAATTATAATAATAAGACCACAAGTGACTTCTGCATCATCTCTTAGCACATTCTTACTGCCAGTTGCAAGCCAGTTTTTGATTTGCTGCCCTGCCTTTGACACTGTGGGACTCAAGAACATCATAAACAGTTCTGTGGAATGGTTGGTGTCAGAAGTGGGGTAATGGGATTTTTCCTTCCTTTTTAAAAAAAGCCAGGAAATTAAAGGCAGGTTCTTTGGGGGGACAGCATAGTCAAGTGGCAGATTTATCCTGGTAAACATTTCCTCTCTACTGAAAGTGGCTCACTGTGGTACTAGCTGAGCAGTGAAATAGGAGACTTGAAGAATGCTTAATGTGGTGGAGCTAGTGTGGGGAGAAGTTCAGCCTCAGTGTTTCTCCTTGCCCTGGTGTATTCATGAGAGAGAGTGAGAGAGAGAATGTGTGTATGTGTGTGTGTGTGTGTGTGTGTGTGTGTGTGTGTGTGTGTGTGTGTGTGTGTGTGTGTGTTTGGCTTTTCTGTCCTTTATACTCAGCCAGCCTTCACGCCGGAGTACATATGGTCAGGGCAGAGGAGGACTTCCAGCTAAGCTTGGAAGAGGGGAGTAGAAACTAGTGATGGGAAAGGAGTAAGTAGGGTTCGTATGGTGCCTTCAACAAGGATGAAGGCTTCTTATAGAGAAAAGGGTAGCACCTTCCTTGTTGGGCCCTGCCTCAGTCTACTTCATAGTAAAAGGTACAAAAGAACAACCCTTCCCTTAGAGAAATAAGAAAAAACCTCTAAAAAAAAAAAGAAAGAAAGAAAAAACCTCTAGTGCCGAGGTTCTGAACCTGAATTTAGATTTCAGATGGTCTATAAAATTGCTTTTAAAAATAATTTATAGCTCTTTCAATATGATTGCTTTCCCCTATGATTTCATGTATTTTTTTTCCATTTAAAAACATTCTTCTGAGAAGGGGTCCAGATGCTTCCCCAGACGGCCAAAGGGGTCCATGACACACAACTGGTTAAGAACCTTATGCTAATGCCACTTTATCAGGGGACTGGTGCGTGCACAGAGTGTGTCAGTGGTGCAGGGAAGAGAAGAAAGGAGGATTGTCCAGTGCTCCATTCTCCTCCACCTTCCGTTCTCTTTGGTGTTTCTCCTTGTCTCATCCCAGAGGGAGCTGGCAACCCCAGTAACCTCCTCCTCCCCTCCCCTCTAGCCTGTGTTCCCATCCAGTGAACCTCCAGAGCGAATGCTATTTGTAACCTCCCCTCTGAGCGGGAGAGGCCTGGAATAGCTGCAGAGCTCTTATCCAAGCAGCAGAGAGCCTGCAGCAGGCAGACCTCCCCTGGTTCAAGTCAGGGGAAAAGTCGGTTGAGGCAGGTATGAATCTGGAAGAGGCAGAGGGTGGGCGGGGGCCGGTATAAGCCACTGGGTTTTTCCAAAATCCATTTCCCACCGGGGGTCCCTTCCTCCCCCAGACAGTGAGTCAGTCTCAGCGTGGTCCTTTCCTGGATCCTGATCTACACACAAGTCAAAAGGCCCCATCTGGCCTGAATCATGCTGGGCAGGCCTGGCCCAGGGGAGGTTAAGCTGTGAGTGGTCGGGCCCCACGGCAGGACCTGCCGTACAGCTAGATTCTTGCCCGATTCATGCTCGGCTGACTGTAAGTGCTGGGTGTCTTTTGTGAGCTTGGAATTCATGTACAGACTGTAAACAGATGGCCCACTGGGCTTCCCAGTGGTTAGTGCTCTTCACTGATGCAAGAGAGACTTAATGTTTCCAGTCTCCAGATCCCACTTCTGTTGTCTGGTGGGGAAAGAAAAAAGAAGGAAAGCAGCCATAACTTCCTCTCCCAGGATCTGCCGGCAGTGGAGGATGGGATGTAGGGGTGGAGAGGAGAGATATGAGTGCCTTCTCATCCAGCTGGACCACAAGACTGAAACACTCTGATGATTTACACACACACACACACACACACACACACCATACATTAAATGAATAGGAAATAGGAGAAAATCCAGGGGTAGAAACTGGAAATATTATATCTGGGAAACCCTGACTTCCTCCCCATGGTGAAGTCATTTGCAGTCCTGGTTTAACAATTAGCTCTCTGATGGGGTGAGGAGGTTCCCTAGCTGCTGAGCTCCCCTTCCATTTCCACCACTAGGGAGGTCTCCTTTTGGCGAGCGTTAGAGGAACCTCGAGGACTCCTGACAGTGTTTTGAAGCTTCCCTTCTGCCCCGGCTCCCCCAGCTAGTATGTTCATGGCAAATGGACTTGGAAGGCTCTGAGAGACGCCCCGTCCTCTCCCCTCTCCCTCTCCCTCCACCCCACCCCCCTCTCTATCCCTGTTCTTACAATAGACACTTCTCTTTGCTCTTAGGTTGCATTCTAGTTGAAGAGAACTTTTCTTTGAAATGTCCTAAACATAAGGTATGTGAAATGGCTTCCTCCTTTTGATTCTCACCCCCTTGGAGATGAGGGAACACAGCACCCCCAGTTTTATCAGTGGACATGCCCTCCTGCCTCTCATACACACTCTAAATTATTTCCCCCTCCCTGGGGCTCTCCTGCCGATGACAGATGGGCCTCATTTGGCGAGCCCCTTCCCAGCCAGAACCCTGTCAAGTGGGTGGGTGAGGACGAGGGTATACTGCTCCCCCGGGCTAGAGATCAGGGGGACCTCCTTAGGGTTTCACTGGCTGGGACCAGAGCTGGTTCCCAGGAAGCCCAGCTAGCTGGTCCCAAATGACCTCAGATTTATCTTCCTGCTTCAGAAATACATCCTGACCTCCCTATTTGTACTCTTCCTCAGGGGCCTTCACCCCTGGCGACTTATCCCGTATGCTTATTACCCTTTAGAAAAAGGAAAGAAAAGAAAAAATCCTGCTTGAATTTCCTGTTCACTCCCAGGTCCTCGAATCCTCCAACAACGCTTGTGCAGTCGGGGAGGGGGGTGTCCCTTGTCTGGGGGGAGCCTGTTCCTACCTCCCAAGGAGTCCCAGCCCATCACAAGTCAGCTTTGTCTCCCAGCTCAGGCCTGTCCAGGACCTCATCCTGGGGACCTGTTAATTTAACCATTGCTCAAAGATGTCTCTGCCTGTCTCATCTCCCTGCTGCAGCCACCAACAGTGTGCACATCTTATTATTTGCAATTAATCAGAGAGATCAGGGCAGGCTGACATATGATGATCATGAGTATTTCCTTGTAAATCAGGCGAATCGAAGGGGAAGGAGTCAGAAGAGAAAGGGCTGGAGAGCAGGAGGGGGGCTGGGCCTTCTTAGTGGGAGGACGCCAGGCACTGGGGAGGAAGACAGGGTGATTGCTATGTGTAACTGTCTGCAAGAACCCAGTGGAAGGTCAGACAGGATGGAATATAGGGAGTACTTCATCAAGAAATAGGATTGGGAGGGAGGGAGACCCCAGCAGGATATGAGAATTCAAGGGGGCTCTTGGATTGGGGAGGGGCTGGCAGCCCCTCAGGGAGGTAGCTCTCAAGCCAGGCAAATTGTTGGGTCCAGGGTGGTAGTGAGGGGGGAAGGGATTCCCCTTTGGAAGCCCCCTCTGGTGCTCTTGCTGATGTTGGTTGTGACCCTGTGTGGGGCTTTTCTTCCAGAGGCAGCTGTTGTAATCCACCCTCCTGGGTCTTACCTCCTCCATCTGGACAGGAGATGCTGCCAAGCCTTGGGCCCAATTCTCACCTGGAGCTGTGACCAGGACACCCAGATCGGCAAGGAAAAGAGGAACAGGACCCTTCCTCCCCCTTGATCTGCTGACCTAACCAGAGGTCCTTTCCTTCTGAATGTTCTCATCTGCTTATGGCTAGCGTCCCGTCCAACTCTTGGGTCTTCTCCCTGCAAAGAACCGCTCCTCAGAGCTGACCCAGGTTTGCTGACCAGTAGGATCCAGGCCCTGGATTTGTGGATTTGGGATCCATCAGACAAGACAGTCCCTATACCTTATCCCTACCTTGGTAGGGAAGCATTCTTAGACCTCTCTTACCAGGTTAACAGTGTAGGTTGCACAGGGACAGGTGATGGAACGGGGAGGTGGGGACAGGGCCTAGGAATGAAGCAGTGAGGATACTTTGTGTCAAACTTAGATTCTTTTCCCAACTCTCTCTTGCCTGCTCCTGACCCTCCCAGCATCTAATGGGTATGGCCTGATACTTGGATACCTAAGAGGCCAGGTCTGACTTTGCCCATGCTCTCTGCCCAACTGCTCTGCAGCCCCTGCTGAGTATGGGTCCCACAGGCCCTCGATGGAGAAATAGCCCTGGACACTTCTTTCCTGGTAAGCTGCATCCACGTTCAGTCCTAGAGAAGTAAAGACCATTGCCAGCCGAGGGGGTGACCAGAGGGACAGTGCAGAATTTGGAGCTAGTGGCCTAAAGGGACTGTCCGCTTTTCCCTCGGTCACCTCATCCAACTGGCAGATGAAGAGGAGGGGAAGTAAAACAAGGCTGATGTGAGTTGGACTAGGACACATGTAATTTCTAAATCCCAGAGGGGTGGGGGGGGTCCCCCATCAATTCTGTCCACATGGTACTTCCCCTTTCCTGCCCAGTATATTCTTTTTGGGTAACAGTAGAATGGATCTGGTCCACCCAGGTGCCTGCTCCTATTTGGAGGAAGGTGTTTTAGTGTAAGCAGGGTTGGAAGAAGGCAACTTTTTGCATGCCCAGTGCAAACCCTGGTTATGTTAGTTTAGTTGAAGAAATGTAAAGTCATTGGAAATCCCTGGGCTCCCAAATATAACCCAGGGGCAGAGCCCTAGCTAGGGACACGTGCCTGGCAGCAGGTGGAGTGAGGAGCCACTGGAAGGACCTGTTGCAGAGGAGAATCCTCTAGCCTTCAGCTTGGAGGGGTGGGTGACCTTTAGCTGGAGATGCAGCCTGAAGCTTTGACATTAATGAATTGAAGCCTCTGGAACAGCTTGTTTCTAGCAGGCTGGTTTCCAGGTCTCTACAGAGCCTGGCTTGATGAAGGAGGATCCCAGCATCCCCAGGTCTTCAGCTAGGGAAGAGAATCTGTTTTTAAGTCAGTCTTCCCTAGTGAGGCTGGATCAGAGACCCTTCTCGCTCCCTGACTGTGTGACTCTGAGCAAGTCCCTCTCTTTGACTCAGTTTCCTCATCTATAAAATGATGGGGTTGGGCTAAGTGATTTTTCTAAGGTCCCTCCCAGCTCAGTCCCCTGTGATTCTTTGGCCCTCCACCCTCCCCACGGAATCTGTCACTCATCTGCCTCCTTCTGATGGCATCAGTCAGTGACTCCAGGGTCAGGAGACATGGCCGGGCCCAGGCAGAGCCTGTGTAGCTGCTTATCCTATGTTGGCTGTCCTAGTGACCCCTCCCCAAGGTGCCTGTTCCCCGTTTTAGCTCCCTTGATGCTGAGCTATCTGGTTTTCATGGATCCCCCGTCTTCTGCTTATTTGACTCAGCTCTCCGCCTTGCTCCTGTGTGTTGTACCCTTTCCGCTGGCAGAATCAACCCCGGGTCCAGCCCCACCCCAGACCCCCAAAGGATGGTGGGCAGAATCTGCAAAGAGAAGCTGGTCTATTTGGAATAGCTTGATCAGAATAAGGCTGGGGGTGGGGTGGGGTTTCTGTGTATATATATACACATGTATATATATATATGTACACACACACTAGTGATAATGCAACACACATTTATATATAGCTGTTCACCTTCATAGTGCTATATACGCATGTGTGTGTGTTTGGCTAGACAACGTATATCTGGAGTCTGTGTGTGATGGGGACTCATTCTCAGGAGAGCCAGTGGGACGGCAGACAGCTACGAACCACGCAGCCGAAAAACAGATATATCATGTGTATAAAATATATATGTACTGTTCTATATATATATGTTATATATAATGTATATATGTTTGAAACGTGCTCGCTTTTGTTTCACCACATTGGTTCCACTGCAAGCAGCAACCTCAGTCCTTAGGTCTCCTGTCCAACACCCCCCACCCCCCAAATCCTCTCCCTAGGATGCCCTCCCCCGAACAGGAGCTGGGCCTTTAAAGGGGAAGCTGGCATAGTGTAATGGAGACCCCCCCAAAAAAAATAGCCCAGTCAGGAAGCCCAGACAAGCAAGTCCCTGCCTATTGCATCTGTCTGTCTGTCTGTCTGTGGTCCTCTGCTCCGTTTATCACCTCCGCTTAGCTAGGTCAGGTCCCTGCCTGCCCAGGTAACCTGGCTGACAAGCTCACTTTGGACTCTGGAGATGGCCTTCCAGGGCCACTGGGGGGCGCCTCACTTAGCTCCCAACTGTCTTAGTGGCATCATGTACATATGACTGTAAAATGGTAAACCGTGTGTATTATATATTGCCTCATTATATAGTGTATATATATGTATACATATACATATATATATAATATATATGAAGACTGTAAATGTTAAGACTAGTGTTCTTATTAGTATATTGCTTCACACTGAAGATTGTGTGTTAACGAGCTGTTTCTAAAAGATGTTTATTTTCCTTAAGAGTTAAAAAAAAGAAAAAAAACAGGTCATTGCATTAAAAAAAACCGTCAATAAAGATACAACAATTGTTTTGGAAGTCTTCGGGCATGGAGTTGTGGCCTCTAACCTCTCTCCTCCCTTCTTCCTGATAGAAAGATGGTGGAAGGGTTGGGGGAAGGGTGGGAGGGGCAACGGAGGTTAAAGTTATTTCCAGTTGATAAGGCCGAGACCAGGAGTACTGGCATGTTGAGAACCAAGGATATTACATGTCAAGCAATTGGCAGGCAGTAGGGGAGAAAGGCAGTGGGAGCTGGCTCTTCTCCCACATTGCCTCTTCTTCCCCATTTCTAGAAGGTATCCATGGTAGAGCTAATGGGGGCCCATTGTCCCAGTGTGATATTGTCGCACTGTGATCCCAAGTCCCTTCTGGCTTCTGTAGCCACTGAACATGTGGTACCCATCATGGGAGGCATGGAGTCAGAGTTCACAAAGTCTAGCCTCACCCTCACCCAAAGAACCAGAAGAGGGTAGAAGTTGATCAAGATCTAGTACTTGGAAATGGAGAGACACCCTTCCCCCCCCCAAGAAGTCCTGCGTAGCTGGCAGGGTTTGGAGGCCCTACCCCCTAAAACCTACCCATCCAGGCACAAGGAAGATTTCTGGCATCCTGGTGTGGGGTCCAGTGCTAAGACAGGAGAGTGATCTCCCACCCCAACCCTGCCCTGGGTTTCCTCCACAGCCCCAGCAACCTTTGGTCACTCAAGGCCAGAACCATTCCTACCATCCAGTATTGATGGACCACAGGAAGCGCTTCTGATAAGACCCAGCCCACCACCAAGGTTTTCTTAGTTTCCCTCACACAGTGAAGTTCTCTTGCTGCCTGACCAGAGAAGAAACTGGGAGGGTTTAGGGGCAAAAGTCTAGCTTTCCAGGTCCATGCCGGTTTAGCCTTTTGTAGAGGAGGGGATCTGTAGTCCACACTGCTGGGGTAGGGGTCTCAGGGAAGGGGACACCAAGCTGCTGATTCCCCAGTTTCCCACTCACCCAGGCCTCGGGCTTATTCCCTCCCTTCCTCTGTTCTGCACCGTGCTGTTGGATTCCTGGCTGCCCTATAAAGATACCCCGAGGACGCTTAAGTTCAGCAGTCCCCTGGGATGCATCCCTCTTCCTTGGGGTCTGGATGTTTCTTTGAAGTACTGGGGAAGGTTGAATAGATGCAGGAGTCTTCTCTGACTCACATTAATCCACTTACAGGAGTCAAGATGAGTCCAAAAATGATAGGACCAGAAGGGATCACTGAGATGACCTAGTCCAGCCCCTTCACGTTACAAAGGAGGAAGCAGAGGCCCACGGTGATACGTCCAAGACTGGTGTAGCCAGTGAGTGACGGAACCCGTTAGGTCTAATGACTGCCATCCTAGGGCCCTTTCCACTACAGGGCACAGTCTTATTCAAAAATTGAACCCAAATTATAAATAATTTCTCCTTTTAATTTTCTGTACAAAACTCTTCTCACACTATGAAAATAAAAGTTTGCGAAGGAAAAAAGTAGTACGGGTGTCTCCCAAGACTTTAGGGAGGCTAGTGCAGTGGCAAGGAGATGTAGTGACAATATATACATATCTACAGGGTCAGCCACACAGCCTCCGACCTGCTCCCTCTTCTTCTTCCAGTAGTGTGACCCTCAGGGGGCCACTGACTAGAGCCCACAGTGGCCTGAGAGCAGGGACCCACCTGCCCTCCTCAGAAGGCCAGAGAAATCTGGAAGTAAAGGCCCCCTGTGGCCCATGGGGCAACCCCAACCCCTGGTTGTAAGGGGGTACAGGGGTAAGCTCCTGGGATGGAGAGAATGGAGTGGGAAGAAAGAGTCAGAGTCTGAGAGGGCCACCAGCCCTATCATTATTTTGGCATGTGAGAGGACACCCAGAGAACACTGGAGAGGGCAAATAGACCTATGGACAGTAGGAGCTCTTCTATATGAAGGGCCTTTTCTTCAAGCATCCCTCTGCTCTTGAGAGTCAAGGTCATCTGCCCCAGGACGACTGATTTCCCCTCCCCTAAAAGGTCAATTCAGAAAGGGAAAGGTGTGGGAAAGAATACAGTATTTGGTTCCATGGAGATTAAGCAGCCATTTGGAGTGGCACCTGTGATTTCATCGATATAGGAAACTTCCAGAGGCTGTGGAGAACTGCCTAGAGCAATGAGCCAGTATCTATCAAAGGTGGGACTTGAACCTAAATCTTCCTGGCTTTGAGACCAGTGCTGTCTCCACTTTGAATGGGGGGGCTGAATATGGGCCTTGCCTGAGAGGGTAGCTACATAGCCCTTGCAATCTCCCAAGGGACCACCAGAGGTCAGTAGCATCTCATCCAGCAATCTTGCCGACTACCATGATAGGATGGAGGGCAGGCCGGTAAGTCCTTTGGGAAAACCACCACCACCACCACCACCACCTCCTCTCTTTCCCCAGCCTTTCACCTGCACCCCGTCCTTACTCCCTATCTGAGGGTTGATTACCAAGGAAAAGGCAAAGTTCTCATTAACCTTGGCCCATTAAACACAATAAATCACAGGCATCAAATTACCCAGTGATTGGATGGGGGGGGGGGAGGATATTGCTTACAGCCTCTTCCATCGAGGGGGGAGTAAATCACCCGAACAGAATTCACACACTATGCCCCCCTCAAGAAGCCCCATTGGGAAGTGTGCAGGACCTGTTTTCTTTGATAGGAGCATAGAATTGGAAAGGTTATCTATATCTAGTTCAACCCCTTCATTTTACAGATAAGAAAACTGGGGCTCAGAGGGTCAGAGTTGGGATTTGAACCTTGATCCTGACTCTAAATCCGGTTTTTTCCCCCATTATACTCCATGGCTTCTCAAGGTCAGGGGTGGGGAAAGGCGGTTTTGAATGAAAAAGGGTCTAGTGTCATGCTGGCTCCTATTGGTATCAGGCTGGTGGATGGGGGGGGGGAGGCTTCCAGGTCTGTGACTGAGGAAGAGAAGGGAAAGAGGTCACCTTGTCCACCTCCATCCATGTCCTGCTGTATCTCTGGAACCCTAGTTACCAGGAGGCCTTGGTGACGTTGCCATGATGACAAGGTTCTAAGCCCTAGTCCCTGACTAGGACCCAAGCAAGCAGAGAGATCCCAGGGTGGTCCTAGATGGCTGAAAGCTTCAGGGAGACTGGGTGGTCTGGGACAGTCATCTGGCTGGGGTTCTGGAGAGGCTACCCGGAGGTAACGGTGGTCCCGCTGCCCAGCCTGATGATCATCTGCTGGCAGTCATGCAGCATCCTCTTGTCTCCCAGCTTCTCCAGGGTTCGGGCAGCCTCGGCCAGCATTCCCACTCGTTGGCCCGGCGCTGACAGGAAGGTCGGGGGCAGATAGCAGCAGGCAAGCAGCAGGGCCTCTGCATGTTCCCTCTGAGTGGGCCGCGTCTCCAGCTCACCTGCTGCAGTGAAAGGAGGAGGGACCACAGTGACGCCAGGGCTTGGGAATGGGGATCAGGGATAGGCAGACAGCAGACATGCACACAGGATGCAACATCCTACCCTGTCACCAGCAGAGTACATCCCCCTCCCCCTCCACGGATGTAAACCTAGTTTTCCCATATTCAGCTTCACAGTGTACTTTAAACATATTGTACACAAAGAGTATGGGACCTGAATACTGACAAAATATAATATTGCTGAGTTCAAATCTGGTCTCAGATATTTACTAACTCTGTGACCCTGGGCAAGTCACTTCACCCTGTTTGCCTCAGTTTCCTCATCTGGAAAATGAGCTGGAGAAGGAAATGGCAAACCACTCCAGTATCTTTGCCGAGAAGACCCCACATGGGATCACAGAGTCAGATACAACTGAAACAGCTCAACCACAATAACAAATAACATTCCCACAATGCCACCCTGGTCTCACGAATGGTAACTTTTACTAGAAGAGTGTTAAGGGATGTTTAGGTGAGATTCCCAAGTTAGGACATGGGTATAGGAAAGGAAAAAAAGCATTGATTCAATGCCCACCATGTGTCAGGCACTGTGCCATGTTCTTCTACAAATATGATCTCAATTTGAGCCTCACAACAACCTTGGGAAATAGCTGCTTTTGTCATCCTCATTTTAGATAAGGAAGCTGAGGCAGACAGAAGTTACATAACTTGCCCAGGGCCACACAGCTAGCAAATGTCCGTGGCTGGATTTGAATTCAGGTCTCCTGACTCCAGGCCCAGTGCTCTATCCACTGAGCCATCTAGCCACCTTTTCTAGAAGACTACAGCTTATTCCCCAGGGCAAAGAAGGGACCTCGGGCCTCGGTTCCTGGCCTAGTTCTCTGTCCAGTCCTGTTCCCACACTCACATCCTTTGTTGCTCGGGGCCGCCCTTCTCCTCAGGCTTCGGTCCAGGAGTTGGTGAGTCCGAGTGGGGCTGGCTCCAGCCATCAGCCGGGCCGTAGCTTCGTGCAAGAAGACCTAAAAAAAAGCAGAAGTCGGGGCTCTTGAAAGGGGTCCCCCTGCCCATACCCACAGTGCCCTTGTGAGCGCATGACAGCTCACATAGCTCACATAACCTCAATAGCCAGCAAGGCACTGTGAGGAGGGACAGTCTCCCTGAAAGTCTTCTATCAGGACAATGAGTTATTTCCTAATGCTTGGTACCACCCCCTCTTCCCCAAAGCCTTTCTTAGTCACTTAGCGCTTACATACCCACTTGGAAAGCTGGTACCCAGCACTCACTGAAAGCACTCCTCCGCCTTTGCCATGTTCTGTCTCCCCAGGAAGACTATAAATTCCCTGAAGACAGGGATCCTTCTTGTTCCCTAGTTCTGTTATCTCCCCTCTCCTTCCCTATAGTACCCAGGGCCAGGTAACCAATAGTTGACTCACTTCCTCCACCCCTCACTCCTTCAGAACCAGCTCTAGCCCAGGCTCCTCCGTGAAGGCCTCCTCTGACCTGCCTGGGATACTCATGCTCTCACTGACCTCCCTCGAAGGCGGCCAAGGTGGCTGGAAGTCAGGAAGACCTGTGGTTCAAATCTAGCCTCAGACACTTACTAGCTGTGTGACCCTGGGCAAGGCACTTCACCGCTGTCTGCCTCAGTTTCCTCAACTGTAAAATGGGGATCATAATAGCACCTACCTCCTAGGATGTTGTGAGGATCAAAAGATATATTTGTGAAGTGTTTAGCACAGAGCGTTGTATACTGTAGGTGCTTAATAAATGCTTGTTTCCTTCTTTCCTCCTCTGACCCTCTTGGGATACTCCTGCACACACTGGCCTCTTCCTCCTCTGAACCTCTTGGGATACTCCTGCCCTTGCTGACCTCTTCCTTCTCTGACCTCCCCCTACACTTAATGCCGATAGTATCATACATCATGGAATCATAAGCCACTTGTATAACTCGCTTTCATATGGGTGAGTGCTAGGTTTCCATTCTAGACTGAATTCCCTAAAGGCAGTGCCTATGACTTCTCTCCTCTGCTTGGCTGTGCCAGGCAAACAGGAGTCACAGACTGATTAGACAGAACTTAATGGAGAGAGCGGGTCACCCATTTTCATTTGGCTGAGGATGGAACGGGAAGAAAAGCTGGTCCTTGGGAGCCCGCTGTAGAGTTTAGCTGGAGGGCTGGGGCTGGGGCAACTCACCCTTCTCATGGCAGGCCGGAAGGACTGTGCCAAACGCCGAAGACTGCTGAGGTCCTGCTGGAAACCTCTAAGTTCCAGGGCTGAGGCCTGGTAGCCACAGCTGGAGGGCTGAGCAGCGCCCACCTGCTGCTGCCACAGACTAGTGCGCGTCACCAGGAGAAGATCACACAGGAGGAGCTGGATGGCCTGCGTGGCAGACGGGGTCCAGGTGAGTGGGCCACGGTCGCTTCCCTTTCTGTGTCTCTCTCCCCTTCCCCCCCACACCTCAGGGCCTGGTGCCCTCAGTGCCAGGGGCCCGGCTCTGGGGCACTGCACCAGACAGAGCCACACAATGCAGCTGCAATGCACCACAGGGGCAGCCTCCACTCATCTCCAGGCCGCCAGACCCAGAAACCCTGTGCCCTTCGGGCCTTAGGAGAGAGCTGCAGGCAGGGCCAGCTGGACCTGGCCACTGACCAACCTGTTAGTGGGTCAAACCTAGAAGCCAAAATCCACCCCAGACCTAGTAGCTGGGGCTTCTCATGCCTGCCTCCCAACCTCTGGGAGAACCAGAGAACACCAGAGCTGGCAGAAGCTCTTCAGGGACCATGTACTCCACGACCCCCATTCAGGAGCAGAAGCAGGTCTAGATGTCAGGTCTCCTGGTTCCCACGGTCCCGTGCTCTGTCCCCTGTATCTCACCCTTCTCTTGTTCCCCATCAGAGGCAGAGGGGGGTGGTGCCTTTACCTTGTCAATAGAAGTGCCAGCAGTGGCTGCAGAGGGCCCCGTGGTCAGGCTGTCCCGCAGATAGCTGCTGGCCTTCTCGCATTGACTCAGGCTGGCCTGACCAAGCTCCTGCTTCTGTCTCCCCAGAAGTGTCCTTGCTGCCTTGAAGGAGTGCAGGGCTGCCCGAGGCAGGGGCTTCCTGTGTGTGGGTTTCCAAGGTCACTTGCAGCCCAAGCCTCCCGACCTGCTGGGCTCAGCCCTTCCAATAACTCCCTTAATACTACCAGACAGAGCTCCCTCCCACTTCAAAGCTAGGGAGGCTTCTTGGAGCAGAATCCCATAAGGGGACAATGGATCTACATCTAAAGACCTAGATAGGAGAGTGCACTACAGCCTGGGCAAGGGTAACCTTCCTGGAGGGGAAATAGAAGTTGTGCCCTGAGCCTCTGGCCTTGAACCTGTCAGCCTCTGAACACCACTTCATGCCTTAGGCCCCCAAGTATTTGTTCAGGTACCCTGGGGAGACTGTATCACCCTGGGTTCTGGGCACCCTGCTTTATAGTCTGGCTTGGAAAGGTTGTCCCATCCCTGACTCCCAGAAATTCTGTCCATTATGGAAGGTGAAATCTTCACTGCATTCTCACATGTAGCATGTAATGGAAACTCTGACCCAGGGCAAACCATCTTTCCCCTTTCTCCCATAAAAGGCCCCAGGGCACTCACTCAGAAGCCTGTAGGACTTTGGGCATGTATTCCACCATTGGGTAGAGAGACTCTGCCCCCTCATCATCCCGCTGGAGCCAGTGAATTACCACCGTAATGAGGGACGCCCACCACTTGGCCACAAGGTCAGTACCTATAGGAGAGAAGAGGAGAGACATTGTTCTCCACTGTCCTCAGTGACTCCTCTCCCTTTCCCAGCTGAGGATGGAATATGAAATGTGAGGATATGGAAGAGGACTTTCTCTGGGTGCAGGTAACTTATGGTCTGTCTTAACCAAAAGAAAAATGTGGCTCCCAAAGACCCATGCACCCATTCTCCACCTCAGCCATAAGGAGGGGAGCAAAGGGCTTACCGGTGGTAGTGGCCATGCTTGAACTGATGGAGAAGTTGAGGGCAGGGGCCCCGGCAGCATCAGAGCAGCCATTCAGCAGCTGCAGGTACTCGAGGGCATCAGAGAACTCCCTGTAGAGCAGGGGAGGGAGGCCCATGAAGGAGTGTAGCTGCATGTCAATGGGAGAAGTATACCCAGTGGGAAACACCAAAAGACACCCCCGCTCCTCCCCGGAACCCAGAGTTGGTTCTGTAACTAACTCACTGTGCAATCTGGGCCAAGATACTTCTTCCCCCTTGGTCAGGCTGTGACCACTCTGGCCCTATCTGCCTCCCCATCTGAGATAGGAATATGCTTTGAAAAGTAGGAAACACAAATGTAATTATTTCTGTTATACTTCTGTTAATACCAGAAGCACTTTGCACAGTAGAGACTCAATGAAGCTATGGCAGGTTGAGAAAGTCCTCAGAATTAATGGACTGGCTCCGCCCGGGGTAGGGGAAGCATGAGAGGGATGGTGGATAGAAAGGTTGGGGGAGTTGGCTGAGACCGGAGGGGAGCATGCTAGAAGGATGGCAAAGCTGGAGAAGAATAAAGAGCCTGAAGGGATAGGGAGGCTGGAGCAACGGAGGGTGGGGCTGAGTGATTAGGTAACATGGGGAAGCCAGATAGGTGAAAGGCTAGAGGTGAGGCTCCCTTTGGCTTATACTCTCACCTGTCCCCATCTGCTGAAGCCAGGGTCTGTTCAGGCTTGGCCACACAGCCCAGGGCTTTCTCCAACAGATGCTCCCGAAACAGCTGTGTCACCTGGGCCAGGGGATCCACTGTTCCAGAAAGAGAGAGGCATGAGCCACCTCCCACCCCAAACAGGCATCAGAGCTCAGAAGAACCACCCCCAGGAGAAGGCGAGGATCCCCTTTAGACAATTCTGCTGCTCCAGGGTGGAGAGGAGTAGGGTAGGGAGGAAAATACATGCCTACAGAGGACAGGTGGAAGGACCCATAGCAGGGTGGTGCTGCAGTTATCCCGCCCATCCTTTGGACTTTGGGATGACAGTAGGGTGGAAAAGCCAAGGTTTCACAAACTTGAGAAATTTAAGAGAAAGGGGGGAAGGAACTGAAGGATAAGGAAGAATAAGGGGGAGGAGGGAATCACTAATGAGAGAAACAAAAATTAAAGCAGTGGGTCTACCTCAGAATGCACATCTAAAATTAAGATTAAAAAAATTAAATTAAGATTTAAAATTAAACAAATGAAAGCAACTTGGAGATTCTATCTCCTATTCATCAGATTGACAAAGATGACAAAAGAGGAAAGTTGCTGGAGGGGCTTTGGAAAGACAGGCAAACTGATGCACTGTTGTAGAGCTGTGAACTGGTCCAACCATTCTGGAAAACAACTTGTAACTATACCACAAAAAAGGCACTAAACCATGGGTACCCTTTGACCCGATGGTGCCCCTGGTAGGCATATACCACAAGGAAGTCACAGACAGAAGGAAAAGACCTCATCTACAAAAATACTTATCCTAACCCTCTTTGTTGTAGCAAAAAGCTAAATCAAAATGGTGCCCATCAGCTGGGAAATGTGATATGTAGATATAATAGAATATTACTGCTTTGTAAGAAAAGAAAAATATGACAGATTCAGAGAAACTTGGGGGGGAGGTTTGTATGAACAGATACAGAGTGAACTGAGCAGAATCAAGAGACCATTTTATAAGATAATCACAATGTTAAAAAAAAAAAAGCAACTTTACAAAATGTCTGAACTCTGTGGCCTCAGGTTTGGGGACATGAGTAGGTTCCAGGTCTCTGTGATTGAGGAAGAAATGGGAAAGAGGTCACCTTGCCCACATCTATCCCTACATACACCCATGCCCACCTCCCTGGCAGAGAGGGGATAAGAAGGCCACCATTTGCAGCATGGCCAGTGTGTTGACTGGTTTTGCTCAATCATAATTATTTGTTACAAAGAGAGTTGGGAACAGGGAAGGGAAGGAGAAGTTAACAGATGATGACAGAGATACAAAAAATACAAAAAAAAGCATCATAAACATTATTTTTTAAAAATGCATATGAAAAAAGATGTTTAAAACAAACAGGGTAATTTGCTTAATTTTGTTTAACTTGCCTCTTTTTGTATCCCTAGTGCCTGGGACATGGTAGGTGCTTAATAAATGTTTATTGATTGACTATTAAATTAAAATGTGTACATAACAGAAGTGCAGTTTCTTATACATTCTATTTCTTTTTCTTTGTACATTGCAAACTTTACAGCACTCTGTAAATGCTCGCTGTTATTATATTACTGAAATGTTTGTGTTTGTTGATTGTTAAGCTAACAGAAAAAAGAGGGAAGGGAAAGGGGAAAGATGAAGGGAAGAAGGAAAGAATGAGAAAGGAGAGGAAGTAGGGGAGGAGAAAGATGATGAAAAAAAGGAGAGGAGGAAAGAAGATCAGGACAACTGGGAGGGAAGAAGAGGGGAGGAGTTACCTGAGTTCCCGGGGGAGCTGTAGAGACTCTCCCTGGGGGTGCTCCTCACTGCCCAGTCCCCGTCCACAAAGAAGCGATGCCCCACAGGATGGCAAAGCCACTGCATGGCAGAGGGCATGGTGCCACTCTGGGCAAGGCACACCTGGCGGGCACTACTCAGGAAGAAGCGCTATGGGCAAGGAGGAGAGAGCAGTGACAGAAGTTGGTCAGATCACTGGCCTGGGCCCCACTAGTGGCGGGGACCCTCCCAGTTCTGACCCCAAAGGAAGCCCTTTCTGATTTGTGAAAGAGCAGCTGAAAAAGAGGTCTGTAAAAGCCCAGCCCACGCTGGTCAGCGTTATCGAAGTAAGAAGATAATACAGCCAAGGAAGGCCAGGCTCACAGACGGAGCCCTAACTCACTTCCCCAGTCCTGAAATCCATCTGGGGGTCTGGGCCAGGCCAGGGGTAGGGGAGGGGGATGGGAACCAGCCCCTGCTGCCTGGCACTGCCCCCTTACCGTCAGGAAATGGAGGGCCCGAGGAAAACTCGTCTTGACCCGGAGTGCGACAGCCACATAGATCTCGGCTAAGGTTGCCACGGAGATGGAACTGCCTGCACATTCAGCCAAGTTGAGGGCATTCAATGCCAGGTTGATGGCAGCAAAGTGACCGCTGGTGTACTTCCCTATTGTGCCAGAGGGTGGTGGGAATCAGATGGACAGGAGCCAGGTGAAACCAGTGGTCCTTGCCTTGACTCAGGCAGACCCACCCTCCTCCCCAAGCCCACCGCCTGCATTTGAGGGGACCCGGTGTCTGAGTCAGATGGGATGGGCCAGGGGATAAGGGCTGGGCAAGCAGAGCTGGAGCAGTGCTGGACTTAAAGGTCAGAGCTCTCACAGAAAGGGACAGCCACTGCCCCTCCCCTGGCCTTCCCATCGGGCCCACCTGTCATATGCAGCTGGTGTAACTTATGGTAGACAAGGGCTGCGTCCCTGGAGCTAGCTCTGACATCAGCCTGCAGCTCCCGATCACGCAGGAGGCCCCCGGCCCGGTCGGCCAGCCAGCGTCCCACCCAGAGACGCTGAAGGAAGTGGCGGATGAGATTCCAGAGGAGACTGCAGGCCAGGTCCAAATGGGAGGTGGGCAGAGGCCGGCCTAGGGCTCGGAGGGCCAGCCACAGGTTCTGCGAGGCCTGTGCAAAGTCCCCCTGAGAGGGGAGGAGAAAAGGGATCAGTGCTCAGAGGTCAAAGGTGACCTTGGCCACAGCTGGCCCATGCGCTCCAAACAGCACACCAGCTACGGAAAGCCCACTATCTGCCTCCATTTCCTTTTTTCCACACAACCTGCAGCAGTCAGTCAATCAATCGATGGCAGCTAGGAGGCAGAGGGAAGTCAGGAAGAGCCGAGTTCAAATTCTGCCTAAGACACTTAGTTATGTGACCCTGGACTCACTTAACCTCTCATCCTAAGTTTCCTCTCCTCATCTGTAAAATGGGGATAATAACTACCTATCTCAAGGCTGTTGTGAAGATCAAATGAAATATACAGAGAGAGGAGGGAAAGAGGAGAGATGAGAAGAGGTACAGAATGCAAAGAACTATGTAAATGCTAGTTATTATATTATTAACTAAAGGAAGGCCTACATATGTGCCAAGTACTGAGCTAGGTGTTAAGGACATGAAGGAAAAACTGTCTTCAAGGACCTCATGTTCTAAATATTCAAGATTAGTAAAAATAGGTTGCATACCAAATATATATAAAATGATTTGGTTGAGGAGCTCATGTCAGGGAAAGAGAGGACAGGGGAATCAGGAAACACCTCTTTAAAGAGGCAGCATTTGAGCTGAGTCTTGAGGGAAGCTGGGCGTAGGAAAAGGGCAGAGGTAAGGGATTAGCATTCTAGGCAAGGGATACAGCATGTGCAAAGGCATGGAAGCTGGAGATTGAAGTGTTTTATGTTGGAAAGAGTAAGCAGGGCAGCTGAGCTGGGTCAGAGAGCGACACATAACCAGACTTAGTCTGATCTGTGCTTCAGAAATGTGTCAGCCCTGCAGACTGCACCGGGATTCCACCTAAGAGGCATTACAATAGTCCAGGCAAGAGGGCCTGCAACATGGGGTGGGGGTGTAAGTGAAATGGAGAGAGGGGAAAGATATTCAGATGGGACAGCTGACAAGATCTGGCAGTCTATTACCAATGGGGAATATGAGAAAGTGAAGAATTGAGGATGCTCCTAGGTTATGAATGTGAGGGACCAGAATAATGGCGGCAATTTAGAAGGTAGGGTAGGTTTAGGGGAAAGATATTAACAAGCTGATATTGGGATGCAGGTCAAGCTGTCCAGTAGCTCACTGGAAAAGAGAGATTAGGGCTCAAGGTACAGATCACAGAACCGCAGATCTAGAACCGGAAGAGACTTTAGACTTGGCTAGCGTCACACAGCTAATAATGGTCTTAAATGGCATTTGAATTCAGACCTTTCCTGACTCCAAACCCAACACTCTATTCACTGTGCCACCTAGCTGTCCAGATAAGAATTGCTTATGTAGATCTGATAGCCATTTTCAGAGAGATTGACAGCTGAATCTGGGGGAGATTAGAGAAGAGAGAGGGGAAACAGAAAGAGGAAGGAGCGACAGAGAGAGATGGAGAGAACATGCAGAATAGTGTTCTGGGGCACTTGGGGAAGAAACATGGAGGACAGGAGCCTGCGTTTCCCCCAAGTGTCAGTCCTGGACTCGATTCTCTTCTTCATCTGTACCAGACATCAGCAAACCATGGCCCAAGGGCCACATCTGACCCTCCACCTGTTTTTGTACAGTCCCCAAGTTAAGAATGGTTTTTACATTTTTAAATACAATTTTAAAATATAGAGTCCATAGTTCTCACTGGCTAATCTCATCAGCTTCCATGCGCTCAATGATCATCTCTGTAGTTATGACTCGCAGACCCAGCTCTAGTTTCTGTCCTGAACTCCTAAGTCCTTTCCTATTACTGTTGAGGGCACCATCTTCCCAGTCTCCAAGGTTTGCAACCTCAATGTCATCTTCAGCTTCTCAACGCCATCTATCCCATCTAGACAACACCCCTCGTCTCCAGCTCCTTCCTCTCTGGGACCTCATCTCCTCCCACATGAATTAAGTGGTCTCCTTCCTTCATATCTCTTCTCACTTCAAACCATCCTCCACTCCGCTGCCAAAGTCAATTTCCTAAAGTCCAAGTCTGATCATTCTGACTCCTACTTATTAAACTACAATGACTCCCTGTCACCCCTACCCTCTCCTTTGCCTACCTTTCTAGTCTTTTCATAATTTATTTATTTCCACCTATACATTCTCTCTACAGTGTAGCAACACACTGTCCTTGTACACATGACATTCCATCTCCAGCCTCTTCTCAAGTCTCACCTTCTGCATGGGGCCTTTCCCAGCCTGCCCCCACTGCCCTCCCTTCATCCCTTCATTGACTTGGATGGTTATCCCTTCCACATCTCAACTTTTCCTATTGTGGTTTCAACATATCACAGGCTGCCATAAGAAATTAAATGGGAACTTGGGGGGAGTTTTGCAGAAGCTGCAAACACAGAAAAAGTTTAGAAATTCATAAATGCACAAAAAATATGTATAGTATTATATAATAGCAACCCAAATTTTGCAGTAAGGTACTGTAAACACCCCCATGAAAGAATAAAATTCGGACTTCTTCTGTGGTATGAAGGGAGAACCAAAAAATTTTACTCAGATTTCCCAGATCACAGAGGCGCCACGCCCCTAACCCCTGCAATGTGGAAGGGATAACTATATGCAGTATGCATCTAGCTGTCTGCATGTTTGTTTCCCCATTAGAAGGAGAGCTGCCCCGGGCAGGGACCATGGTTGGCTTGTTTTATTTCTTTGATCCTCCAGTGCTTAGCAGTTTCTGACTCCTAGTAAATGCTTAATAAAAGCTTGCTGAGTGACCATGAGGAGTCTGAGAAAGAGCGGTCCAACAGAGAGGGAGAGGACTAGGAGAAAATAACGTCAAGGAAACCGAGGGAGAAGAGAATACTCAGAAGAAAGTAGTCACCAGGGCCAAGTGCTCAGACAGGTCAAGAAGCAAGAAGACTTACAAAAGACCACGGGAAAAAGACGGTTTAAGGTTCTGGATGATCATCCTCCCAACCCCAGTTGACCACTCTCCCTCCACACACACACCTCCAATTGGAGGTCAGGGGTTCGAGGAATGTCAACCAAGGCTAACTTAATCTCTAGCCACTCTCCAACCTCCCAGGCTAATGCTTCCCTCCCCCCTCCTGCTTCTCCTTCCCCACCTCCCCCTGGCCCACCCCCTTACCCGGGCCAGATCCAAATCAGCCTGCTTGCGGTGTCTCCAAAACAAGACCGAGGGTCCTGAGTGGGGGTCTGGTGATGGGCTCGCCATAGATGAAAAGGCGGATGAAGGCCGCCAGGATCACCAACAGATTAAGCATCCAGAAAAACAAAGTGGGCAGCAGCCACTGAGACCAGCTGGGACTACCTGGTGAGGGGAGAAGGTTGGACAAGGTTGGGGGCCAATAAGATGTTCCGGACTCCTGGTCCAGCCAGCCCCAGAGATGCCCACAATTTCATGGTTCTCCTCTCCTCCACCCTTCCCTGCCCTCAGAAAACTGTTATCAGTTGTTTCCACTTTAGTGTGAATTTAAAACATCACAGCCCTTCTTCTCTCAGAAAGATGGGCATTTTAATCCTCATCTCTGACAGTGGAGTGAAAAGTTCTATTCCTGTTAAGTGAATTTGGAGGATGGGAAAGATCTTTCCAGCTCCCTTAAATCATACCACTCCACCTACGTAAGACTGGCCCTCACATGCCAACTTCTGGGGGGCTGGGGGGCTAGGTCATGGCTCCACAGGATAGACTCCTCCCCCAACACATCCCCTGATGTCAAAGAGGATGTAAAGATAGGTGGGTACACAAGACTGGTCCCCTTTCCCACAAAAACCTGCTCCTCTTTCTGGCTTCATTATTTCTCCCCTTAGGACACTATCACTTGCTTCGTCTCTCACGTTTGAAATCTTAGGTTGTATCTCTGGCCTGACCCTTTCTGCCCATACTCGCTGGATCCTGTCAGTGCTATAACCAAAACATTTCTTTCAATCATCCCCTCTTCCCTCTTCCCATTGTCCCCATCCTATCACAGGCCTTGTGTCCAGAGCACTGCAGTGGTCTCCTATTTCCTGCCTCTACTCCACTCCAAACCATCCCTCTCAGTTCAAAACCCTTCAGTGGATTCCAATTACCTCATGAGTCTATTTTTTGTTGGGCATTCAAGGCTCTTCTCCCACTGGCACCACCTAACCTTGAAGTCAGATGATGGTGAGCTACCACTAATTACCTGTGTGGCCTTGGACAACTTACTTAGCCCCTTTGGGTCTCAGTTTCCTCATCTGTAAAATGAAGGGGTCAGACTAGATGATGTCTAAATCTCTTTTAAGCTCTGAATCTATGAACCTAAGATTTAATACTGTACCCTATCTCCAAATTGTACCACTCACTGTTTTACACACACACACACACACACACACACACATTCTCTCTCTCTCTCTCTCTCTCTCTCTCTCTCTCTGAATTTTCTCACCATCCTAGGCCTAGAATGGCACCTTGCCCCACAACCTACTGGATTCCTACCCATCCTTTAAAACACAACTCAAATGATGCTGCAATGGAAAGATTTAGAACCAGAGAACCTAGGTTCAAGTCTCAATTATGCTATTCACTACCCAGGTGATCCTGGGCAAAACCCTTAACCCTTCTCTCTAGGACCTCACTGTCCTCATCTGTAAAATCAAGAGATTGGGCTGTGTGTTCTATCTGGCTCTAAGTCTGTGACCCTAAAATGCACCTCCTCCACGAAGCCTGCCCTGCTCTACTCAGTCAATAAGGCCTTTCTCCTTTTAGACATTGTTTAGCTAAGTGACTGGGGGAAGACAGTAGGTATAATGTTATACCTGGAATCAGGAACCCTGGGTTCTAATCATGCCCCAGACATTTACTAGCTGTGTGACCCTGGGAAAGGCATAAAATCTCTTTCAACCTTGTTTCCTCATCTGTAAAATTAGGATAACAGTGGTGTGCACCTCCAAAGGTTTTTTGAGAATCAAATGAAGTAACACATGTAAAGCACTTTGTAAACCTTAAAGAGGTTTATAAATGCTAGCTGCCATTCTTACAGTCTGCACCTCTTTTATTTAATTACAGATTGTGTTTATGCCTGTACTTGGCATGCCCTTAAGCTCCATGAGGGTAAGAACAGTACCTTTTTTAAACTGTCTACCCTTCAGTGTCTGCACAAAGGAGTTCAATGAATATTTGTCAAATTTAAATAAATCTATCCTGCTCCCCAGCTGTCCTGAAAAACAGGTCTAAGCTTTTGAAAACTGACGCAGCTTTTGCTGGCACCTGCCAAACACCAACTGAGATCCGTCACAGACTTTCAGACCAGCCTGGGGTAGCTTCCTGATCCCCCCCACCTGAGTGACCTGCACATTCAGATCTATTTGCATGCTCAGCAATCCTCACCTTTGCCCTCCGTGCCTAGCATGCTGCGTCCGGGCATGTGGTAGATGGTGGTGGTGTCAGCCTGGCTCTGGCCACTGTTTCTGCCCAGAAGGGAGGCCAATGGGTTGCAAGAAAGGCAGAGGAAGACAAAGGCACACAGGGCCAACCGTGATCGGTCCAGCATGCCCAGGCTGCTGGGGGAGGGGAGCTGTTCCTGTTTCACCTGGAACACAAGAAAATCCCTGATGAAGCCCCAGCTTCTTTCTAGGTAGGAGAGAAGACTGCATACAATGTTCAGGAATGAATGTGGGGGAGCAGACTTAGGGAGGAGAAGTTATGGAAATTCCAGGTCTACCATTTACTGCATAAGTAACCTACTGGAATCTCCAGATTTCAGGCTCCTCCTCTGTCAAATGAAGGCGTTAGCTTGAAAGACTTAAGCATTCTGATTAATGCAATGACCAATGTTGATTCCAGAAGCCTCGTGATGAAACATGTTGCCCACCTCCTGACAAGGACAATGAACTAGACACGCAGAAGGAAACACATATTTTTGGACATGGCCAATACGGGAATTTATTTTGCTTAAACATGAACATTTGTAATGAGGGTTTTTTCTGTTTTTTCCCCCAATGGGAAGGAGGGAGGAAGAAGAAAAAATAAACCTTGCCAGGATTTTTAAATTTTTTTTAAAATTTTTTACATTTAAAATTTTTAAATTAAATTTTTAAAAATTGAAGGTGTTGGACCAATGACCTCTATCTAACCTTTCTTTATTTTCAGAAGGAATATTTTTTATTTTTCTTAACACAGTTCTAAACTGATAGCTAGGAGACAAGGGACAATGAAGGAAGCAGGACACATAGGCTGGGGAATCAGCCCTTAGCCTAACAGCTCTTAATGACCTCCTTAATGACCTCACATATGCCAGGCCCAGGAGTTGGACTTACTTAAGTCTAGGGGAAGTTGCCTAAAAGAAAGCAGGTGTTCAAATAAACTGAGAAGATCAATAGGAGTGGGAGTTTGGAGCCCTAGATTCTAGTGTCAGCTCAGTTACTAACTCTCCCTTCGTGACCTTTGGGAAAACAGCTTTCCAATCTGGTGCCTCAATCTCTTCATCTGTAAAATGGAGTTGACTGAATGGTCTCAAAGGTCCCTTCAACACTGTGAACCTATTATTTAAAAGATAAGGTATCACAAGGGGTTTTATGACTGAGATCTATAAATTTACAAACTGGATAGGAAGGGAGAAGCTGGATCTGATCACTCAATTCCAGACATTAGGACTAAGAAGCCTTAAGAGGTGGAAGGTGGAAGTTTTAGGACAAATAAAAAGCTATGACTTCACATGGAATTTAATTTTACAGAATTCATTCTCATCTGCAAAATATGGGCCCTGGACACTAATGCACTGTTGGTGGAGTTGTGAACTGATCCAACTACTCCGGAGAGCAATTTGGAACTATGCCCAAAGAGCTATAAAAATGTGCATACCCTTTGATCCAGCAATACCATTGCTAGATCGGTATCCCAAAGAGATTTTTTAAAAAAGAAGAAGGGAAAGGATCTATTTGCATAAAAATATTTATAGCAGCTTTTTTAACAATAGCAAAGAATTGGAAAATTGAGGGGATACCCATCAATTGGGGAATGACTGAACAAGCTGTGGTATATGACTGTGCTGTAAGAAATGATAAGTAGAATGGTTTCAGGAAAACCCTGGGAAGACTTAGATCAAAAGTTACAAAGTGAAATGAGCAGAACCAGTAGAACTGTACACAGTGACAGCAATACTGTATGATGATCAACTGTAAATGACTTAACTATTCTCAGCAATATAATTCTGAATACCAAGACAATTCTGAAGGATTTTGCTGAAAAATATTATCTGCCTCCAGAGAAAGAACTGTTGGAGTCTGAATGCAGATCGAAACATACTTTTTTTTAAACTTTATTTTTCTTGTTCATTTTTTTTTAGTCTGTGTTTTCTTTTGTTAATGTAGAAATATGTTTTGCCTAACTGCACATGCATAACCTATATAAAATTGCTTGCTTTCTCAAGAAGAGGAGAGGGAAAGAATTTGGAACTCAAAAATTTTTTTTAAAAAATGTTAAAAATTGTTTTTATATTTAATTGGAAACAATAGATTAAAATTTTCAAGGAAAAATAAAATAAGAGAAGTGCCCTGGACTACAGGGTTTCCAAAGTCCCCTCCAGTCAAGTGGTCCAGTGGGTAAGTGTTAGGACTTGAAATCAAGAAGAGCTGAATTTGAATCCTGCCTCAGATGCTAGATAGCTGGGTGACTCTGGGTAAGTCATTTAACTTCTCTGTGCTTCAGTTTCCTCATCTTTGAGGATTAAATGACAACATATATAAAGTGCCTTTCAAGACTTAAAATGCTATAAAAATGCTAGGTCGTATCATTAAATCAATGATCCTATGAACCCCATGCTAGAAATATTGATTCAAACAGGGTTCAAAATGATGAGAAGATAAACCCTAAAATACTAAGGAAAATTTGGAGGGAAGCCTTGAAACTTTGAGGTCCACATCACAAAATCACAAAAATTTAGAGTACTAGAGAAAGCAGGGAGCATAAAGACCATCCATTCCCACACACTCATTCTACAGAGGAGAATACTCAAGCTTTGGCAGGGAAGTAATTTGTCCATGACCTGACCTCCCACAAAGCATACCTTGGTGCTTCGTCAGAGACCCTAGCGCCTATTCTGACACCTTTAGGTAAGACAGTGGAAGAGAGACTTCATGGGGGAGGTGATGGAGTTGGACAATGAAAGAAGTTCCCCAGATGACCCCCAAAGCCATGTTCTCCCGCCCCAATCAGGCACCTTGCGGTCTTCAAAGATGGGGCTGTCAGGCTCTGAGTCACTGCTGTTGCCACTGCCCCCACCACCCAAGGACAGAGGGCTGCTGTGGGAGGGGGAGCCAGCATCGGAGGGTGGCGGGGTCAGCGCATCCACCATCTCTGGCTTGATGATCTCCATTGGTATGTCCATGCTCCCACTATTGCATGATGAGGATACCAGGTCTTTCAGGGACTCTGGGATTTGGTGCAGAGTACAGAGAGAAGGCATAGATCAGAGTTAGGGAAGGGTGAATAGTTCCTACTTGGGTACAAGAAGGGCCCCAGGCCAGCCATCCTAAATGAAGCATTCTCTATCATGCTTCAGCTGACTTCTTACCCAGAAATATCCCTCTGCCCCAATGGTCCCCCTTCTCCCATTGGTGAGCTCCATTTTGAGGAAGAGCCCGGGAAAGTCATCCTTCACTCCTCTCTTGGCTTTCATCCCGACTCTAGACTTTGCCACCATGTCCCATCCCTACCCACCCCCACCCTTGCTTTTGAGCTCCTTTTGTGTTATCTTTCCCCATTAGAATGTTAAGTTCCCTAAAGGAGAGACTACTTTTTTTTTCTGCTTGTATTTATATCCCCAGCACTTAGCATAGTGCTTGGTACGTATTAAGGGCTTGACGACTCAATCTGGGGATCTCCCTCTCACCCAACTCTCAGGCTGGTTATGGGACTCGCACCAAAGGCAGGAGATGGGAAGAAGCCCTTTAGAGATAGTAGTAATAGCAAGGCTGCTGGGCTCCTTGGGCCTTGGACTCCTTCATCCCCCACCTTGGCTGTCAAAGTTTGTAAGGAAGGGACAAGCATAGATTGCCCAGTTGAGACCATAAGCCAACTTGGCTTCCTCTCCACCCTTGACATTGCCCCCAAGTCCCAGTGGCTGAAGAATAGGCATAGGGACCCTTAGGAAAGACTCACTGTTCTTCTGCATGGCCATCCTGAGAGTTAAGTTCTCTTGCTTTAGCTTCTGATTGGTCTGCTGCAGGAATCGGATGTAGTCAATGGCCTTTCTCAGGATGGCTGATTTGTTCAGCTGGAATGGAATGATGGAGGCCCTTGTCATTCTGGGGCCCAGCCGCTCTTACCACCCCCCTCTCCAGCATCCTCCACCAGTATGGGCTAAAGGATTCCTGGAGCTGGCTCTAGATGTTAAATCCCAGATCTGTCCCTCAGGTGAAGGGAGGGTGACGGAAAATACGGAACATTGTACATGCAGCTCAGGAGTTGCTAACCTGGGCCCACAAACTTGTTTTTTTTCCTTTCTTTTAAATACTCTGTTAATTCTACTTCAGTATAACTGTTTTCCTTTGTACTCCTACATACTTTATGCGCTTAAAAATATTACTCTAAGAAAGGTTGTATAGACTTCACCAGACTTCCAGGAGTCCAGAACATACAACAAGGTTAAGAACCCCTTTGAGATTCTTAAGTGAGGAAAGGTGAGCTCTCATCTCTTGACTGTTTTAATCTTCTTTGGAGATTGGACCAAATGACCTCTGAGGTCATCTCTAGCTCTAGTCTAAGACACTTCTTCCCTCCTGGCTCTTGCCTGCTCTCTTACACCTTCCCTGGATTTCTGAAAGGGTTCCCCTCTCCACCTGTCTTAGTCTCCCTCTCTGATTTCTGCCCCACTTTATTCCTCTCCTTCCCTTCTCTATCCCATACCTTGGCCTCAGTCCCCACCACCAGGTCTTTGAGTTCCACAATCTTGTCATTGATAGAGGATCGATAACGTTTCTCAATAGCATTGTGAGCTGTTCTCTTCTCCCCTTTGCTCTGGGAGCTGGGGGTCTTGGCCGTGGCGGCAAGGCGATTGATGGGCAGCTTGTCAGCATCTACCACCAGGGGCACGGTGGCTAAAATGGTGCCTCCACTCACCAGGGTCTGTTCAGGGGAAGACAACATGTAATTAACTCACAGCCAGGGCAGAGTGTGTTAGGGGGAGAGGAACAGAGCATCTCAGAGCTGGGGAAGAGTGGAAAGAAGGGAAGATTCAAAGAAAAGTGACTAAGAGAGGCCAAATGGAGTGGGAAGAAGGCAATCATGGAGCCCAGATGGTTTGTGGGGAGAGGTAAACCAAGATTTAAGGGTTGTTTCCACCCAGGATTTAGATAGATAGAAACACATACACATATTTGCACAGGTACCCGTTGTATTAGAAATATCTATCCATCTTTCTATCTACACACATTCACATAGGTACCTGTTGTATTAGAAATACCTATCTATCCACCCATCCATCCATCTATCTACACACACATATTCACATAAGTACCCACTGCATTAGAAATAAGTGGGAATTCCACAGTTTGGGAGGAAATGATCACAGATCAACCTTGGCCTTCCCCCAGGGACTCAACCACCCCATCCAAAGTCTCATCTCATCCTGCCCTCACGAGTCCCACCTATACCATCCATCATACCGGGACCTGCAGGGGGGTGGACTGCACCGCTGTGGTGGTGGCCAACGTATTGACCCCTGAGGTCTTCACTCCCGTGCCCACATCAGTCTTCACAGCTGTCAGGACCAGTGAATCAGCCTTGATGAAGTGAGGCTGGAGTAGGACCTTAGCAGGAGGGATGGGAGAAGCGTCAGTGTCCCCCAAGTCATTCTGAAGCCTTTCCCCTCCCTTCCCAGCCCTATTTTCTTTTTGTTTGTTTGTTTTTTTAGGCTATTGGGGTTAAGTGACTTGCCCAGGGTCACACAGCTAGTATGTGTCAAGTGTTTGGTCTTTGAACTCAGGCCCTCCTGACTTCAGGCTGGTGCTCTATCCACTAAGCCACCTAGCTGCCCCTTTTTGATTTTTTTTTCCCCCAGCCCTATTTTCTAAATCATCTGTTTTTCCTCTCTTTGTTTCCCCAGCCTTTACCATAGTGCCTGGCACACCAAAAGTGCTTAATAAATGCTTGTTGTTCAACACTGTTAAAACAAACAACTTTGAAAGCCTTAAGAAGTCTGATCAATGCAAGGACAAATCACAATTCCAGAGGACGGATGATGAAACATGCCATCCACCTCCTGCCAGAGAGGTGACGGAGGCAGAGAACAGAGTGAGTCATTTTTTGGGCATGGCCAATACAGGAATTTGTTTTGCTGGGTCAAGGATTTTGTTTTTGTTTTTCTACTTTTAAATGGTGAGGAGGTGGAGGGAGAGAAAATAGATTTTTGTTAACTGAAAAAAATTTAATTTTTAAAAATATTTGTCACTGTTAACCATCCAACCCAAATGAGCTAGAATACTCCAATGAACCAAAACCATGTCCCTGAGGTAGGTACTTTCTGCTCCAAGAGGGTTTAAACAAGCTCCATGGATCCTGAAAAGTTCTTTTTCTTCATGGTAAGTGCCAGGCAAAGATGTTAGACACATCCATGGAAAAGCCTCAGCTAGGGGCCTCTGAGATATTTTTTCCCTCAACAGCCTCTCTTGCTCAGTCTTCACACATCTGGCTTCTCTGTCATAGTGAATATTTACACAAGGTTAGCATTGAAAAGAACTCAAGAAATTATCATTCCAAATCCCTAGAAAACAGTTAAGTGGTAACATGAATATAGTGCTAAGCATGAAGTCAGGAAAACCTGGGTTCAAATCCAACTTCAGTCACTTACTAGCTGTGTGCCCCTAGGCAAGGCACTTAAACTTTGGTCTCCCTCAGTTTCCTCAGCTGTAGAATGGGGATCATAATTGCATCTACCTCTCAAGATTGTTGTTAGGATTAAATGAGATAATAATTGTAAATCTCTTAGTATAGCGCCTAGCACACAGCAGGTACTTAATAAATGCTCGTTCCCTTCCTCTCCCTGCCAACCACTATACTAAGCCCAACGTTATGGAGAGAAAGCTCACTGGAATTTATTATAATACATTTAAAAAAGGGAAGGTGGTGTGAAAGAAAGATTCACTATGTGTAATTCTCTTTTGTGTATATAGAAATTCTCATCGGGGTTATTTTTTGTTTTGGTTTGGTTTAAGTTTGGAATTTTACAAAAAGAAAAGAAACTCCCTGGGAGTGATGTGGATAAAGGGTAGCAATCTGCTCCTGGCATCTTTCCTAACTGACCAGAGAAATGATGCTGTTCACCTCTCAAAGAGAAACACCCTCCTGTATCCTAGGCTGTGCCACCTGAGGGCAAAGACCTTGTCCTATAAGCACCTTCCTCTCCCACAACAAGAATGCAGGACTTCTTAGGTTCTGGGCTTCAACATTCCCTCTGTTGGCTGGGGAAGCTGAATGGATGTCTGCTGAGTGACTGGGATCTCTGCCTGCCAGGGAAGAACTAGAGAGGGCCTAGAGAAAGGTGACTCAGTGAAAAAAACGATACAGTGGATGGAAGAGTCGTTTATATAGGGTCAAACGAAAACATGGAGGCCTCCTCAGTTTGAAACAGGACTGTCTATAGATAGTTGGTACTAATGGGGTCCTGGAAATAATTAGAAGGCACAAGATGCGGATAGGTAGCATCGGCAGTATGACGGGCAGGAGATACTCTCACTCCTCGGAGTCTTCGGCTGTGGTGAAAGAGATTATTAGCACTCAGAGGGAGTGAAGGGCAGGGATGACTCATGGAGTTGGATCTGGAAGGGAGGAGTCCAAATAGAGGGGAAGGGTGCCATCCATCCCTTGCCCATCAATGTCATCAACTGCCTGTGCTTTGTCAATCCACATCAGCCCCACAAGTGACAAATCATTGGTTGTTTTATTACTTTCCTGCCTAGCCTGAGGTTGATGGATGGCTAAGGCAGCCTACTGGGGATGTGGGCACTTTGGAGGGGAACTGTGGATTCTGGATCAAAAGAAAGTCCCAGGCAGGAGTCTGAAGATAAAAACAGTGACACAAGCATGCTGCTTAGGGGAAAGGGCCCCATGACAGAGGACACTCCCAAATCCTGAGCCTATTCATCATTTCCCTAAACACACCCTAACCATCTAGGGCAGATGAAATCAAGGCTGGGAACTTGAGGCAATACTCCCCAAACACCTAGTGGGGTAATGGCCTTGGTTCAGAAAGACCTTCATGAGACAGGCCTTAGCACTAGTCTATAAAATGCTGCTGGAGGGGGAAATAAAGGCACAACCTCAGTAAAAAAAATATATATATATCTATTATAATAATGATGATGCTGATGCTTATGATAACAGACACTAAAAGAGGCTCCCCCTTGAAATTCAAAAGAAGTAATCTGCAGATAAATAAGATGAAATGTAATTTCAGTTCCTACTTTGTAAAATTAAGGGGTTGGTTGAATGAAGTCTCTAAGGGGCCTGTCCCCAACCCCCAGCTCTCTCAGCTCTGCCCTCGACAACCTTAAGGGTCTATGGATTTTTGGAAGCCAGTGACAACTTAGGGAATGGAAATAATAACAGAAAGGCTAGCTGTGAGCTCTGTGCTTCTGTAAGAAGATTGCCAGGTGAACAGACCACACATGAGACTGCCCTCATTCAGCAATTCATATCTTCACCTATGTATTAATAATAGCGGACATTTCTATAGCTCTTTAAGCTTTCAAAGCTCTTTATATAATCTCATTTGAGCCTCTATTACACCCATTTTACCGATAAGGAAACTGAGGCTCAAGAACAGGAAGTGACTTGCCAAGGGTCATATAGCTAATAAGTATCTGAGGCACAACTTGAACCACATCCAGCAATCCAACTACTACGTGCCTTAGCCCAGTGCCTGGTACTATTTATGTGACCTTCAGAGAGTCTCTGGGCTAATTCTAAATATTGGCCTCAAGACAATGATCATTTAAACTCTTTCTCACTCTCAGATTTATTGAGGGGTGGGGAGAGCCAGCGTTGAGAGGGAGGGGCAGAGGAAGGGGTTGGGGCAGCTTCACAGCAGAGGAGGAGGAGGAGGAGGAGGAGGAGGTAGATGACCAAAGGAGTATATTTTGGAAGAGCAGAAGAGTCAGTTTCTCCTAGCTTTCCTGGCACAGGACCACAGCAACCCCTTCTCATTCCTCAAATAACTGTTCCCAAGTGCTGCCTTAGCCTCAGGCCCGGCTGGTTTATCTTTGGTTCTGATTCCCCTGAATCCCAGCTCCCATTTCAAGGAAATTCGTTTCCCCCCACAGGCAGAAATAAGGGCAGCTTCTTCCCAGTCAGAGGGCTGAACTTACTGGGACCTGCTGAATCTGGGAGGACACAACCTGGGCAGGTGCTGTCAGCAACTGCTGTGGGCAGATATTCTGAACCTGGGCTTGGATGGTAACTGGCAATGACCCTTGAGGAGACAGGGGCTGGTTGGACAAGGGCTGCTGGACATTACCAGAAGGAGCAGCTGAAATGGGGAGACAGAGGAAACTGTGAACATCACAGACATTAACTCACTGTAACTCACTTACCTGTCCCCTCCCCATACCTCACCCCCCCACCCCTCCGATTTCTTGCTTCTGTATCCACCCCCTTCTTTTCAAGGACCTCTCCCTGAGGGGAGAGGACCTAATGACCTCATTCTCACTGAGGCATTATTCCTCCCCCAGGCTGCATTTATACTCTGGAAGAGCAGGAAAGGTCAGTGCTTAGTCTGAAGGAATGAAGAGCTAATGGTGAAATTTTAGACACTGGTGAAGGAGATATTTCTGAAGGGGGAGTCTTCTCAGGAGTAACTCATACCAATACTCTGGGCAGCTAAGTGTGACCACCTACTGTTCTGCCTATGTGTTAGGGCTGCCTCCTTTCCAATCGACCTTTCTTTTTCCTTACCCTCCATCAACCAAGCTCCCCTCCCCAAATAAATTCCCATAATCAAGAATGCCCCTATACTCACTCCTGAGTTCCTTTACTTCCATTGTGGGGTAAACTGACCACACACCACCCTTTGATCCACCCCACCCCTGCCCCCAAACCCTCCCAGCCCCCTACTCACCTGCTGGGAAACTGCCCTGGCCCTGGTAGTCCAGTAGAGTTGGAGAGGTAAACTGAGGCTGGGAAGGAGGAGCAAAACTCTGGGGCACCATGACTCCTGGTGGCTGTAACTCCTGTGGCTGTGGCTGTGGCTGTGGTGGCTGTAGTTGAGATTGGGGCTGAGGCTGAGGCTGAGGCTGAGGCTGAGGCTGGGGCTGGGGCTGGGACTGGGGCTGGGGCTGGGATGGCAGCTGAGACTGCAGCTGGGGCTGGGATGGGGGAGGTGGTGGTGGTACCAGCGGAGCTGGCAGCACAGGCTGGGAGAGCAGCTGAGGAAGAGAAGGCTGCAGGATGGAAAGCTGCATGGACTCCTCCTTGATGCCCGGCGAGGCCTGGCTCAGGTCAGGCCCTGCTATCAGCTGTGGGGGCTGGAAGCTGGTCATTGCAGGAGGGGGAGGAGGTGGTGACTGGTACATCTTTACGTGGGTGGGCACCTTGGTGCTCCCCAAGAAGTTGTCGAGGGTGGAGCTGAGAGAGCTGGGGGGTGGGGACAGGCCCCCAGAAGAGCCAACATCCTGGAACGTGGGTGCAGCCCTGCCATAGCTAGAGTCAAAGAGACTAGGGAAGTCACTGTCCTGGTTGTTGATCAGCTGAAGCATATCTGGAAGCAAAGAGAAGGCCAAAGATGAGGCACAGATAGTGCCAATTTCCACCCTTCCACCTCCCTCTCCACTCAGAAACATTGTACTGGAATAAAGGAGGAAAAAAAAACAACGGGATCTAACCACCTGCCGCCATACTTTCCATGAGAAGGTATTATCATGAAGCACACACATGTACACAGTCATGGGCATGCTCACACATACATACGTACTGGCACGTACCAACCTAAGTGTGTAAACATACAAATACAACTGTTACACACCACCACGTATCTCTAGCCAGAACGTAGCCAACATATGTTTGGATTTATTCGTTAGACATCTCCACCTGGATAGCCCTTGGGCACCTCAAAGACGGCATGACTGCAACCCGATGTATCCTCTCCCCAGAAAAACCTTCTCCCTCTTCCTGACTTCCCAATTTCTGTTGATGGCCCTCCCATCCTGCAGTCCCCCAGAGCCAAAACTTCCGCATCACCTTTGACTCCTTCTTCAACACCCTGCACATACAACCAGTACTTCTGGCCTCTTTTGAGAACCAAACCTTTCCTTTCCTTCCTCTTCTACTGCCACCCCCTTAGTGTTGACTGACCTTTTGAGGCAACCAAGTGGTGCAAAGGATAGAGCACTGGACCTGGAGTTAGGAAGATCTGAGTTCTAATCCTGCCTCAGACTAGCTATGTGACCTTGGGCAAGTCACTTAACCTATCTCCTTCAGTTTCCTCATCTGTAAAAAAGCAGATAATAATAGCACCTACCTCCCCAGGTTGTTTGTGAGAATAAAATGACATAATATTTGCAAAGTGCTTTGTAAAACTTAAATTGCTTGATCTAAGACAACTCCAAAAGACTCACAATGGAAAAAAAGACAGGATTTCTCCCTCTGAATGTACATTATTTTTTTTTCCTTTTTGGTGAAGCAATCAGGGTTAAGTGACTTGCCCAGGGTCACACAGCTAGTAAGTGTCAAGTGTTTGGTCTAAGACCAAATTTGAATTCAGGTCCTTCCGACTCCAGGGCTGGTGCTCTATCCACTACACCACCTAGCTGCCCCTACATTATACTTTGACATTCTACTTTAAGTTAGAAAGTGAGTTAGAAGTTTTCTTATCCACCAACTAGACTCTAAGATTTCTGTGGGCAGAGAAAATGTCATATATGGGGTGTGTTCTAAAAGTCTTCAAGATGTTTTAAGCTATTAAAATTTAAACTTTTTGGACACCCTGTACTTAGTTCTAACCCCTGCAACACCTACCACAGAGGACATCTGATTAATGGATATTAATTTATAACAAGGCATTAGTAGATAGGTGATGATTCAATGAACCACATGAACACACACATGCAATTCAGATCACCTGAATCTATATCTATTTAGGCCATCAAACATCTGGGTCAGTTCTGTTCTGGCCTTCCAGGACCCTAGCTCCCATGGCAGCCTGGCCTAGACAGTTTATTCTGCAACCTGGCTAGCAATAAATATTTCATAAAGTGCCCCTCATCTCAGCCTCAGAGTCCCTAGAGCAGGGATGGAGTGAGGCTCCCAAGGAGGAGAGGGAAGAAGTGGAAAGGATGAGACCAATTTCAGGAACATTTAGGCTTCAAAAAGCCCACTTTTCAAACACTGACCTTAAGTGAGAAGGAAAGAGCTCTAAATTGGTCAAGAGCCAACAGCTTGGAGCATTACCAGCAAGAAAAGCAGCATTTACAGTGGATACTGGTTAGCCTTGAAAGGAAAGAAAGAAAATGAGAGAAAAGCAAAATAGAAAAAAAAAGAGAGGTAGATGGGGGAAAGAGGAGAAGAGGATGGAGAGGGTGAAGGAAAGGATAGAGAGAGTGAGAGAGAAAGGAAAGAGGAAGGCAGGACAGAGAAAGGGATGGGCTTTCTCTGAGGGAAACACAGGAGGAAGAAACAATACAAAGGATTTGGCTGAATCTCTCCTTTGGACTGATGAGGAAACAGGGGAAGTAATTTGAACAAGGTCACAAATAGAGTTTGTCACAGAGCTGGAGACAGGCCTCAAGTCTCCTTACTTTCTATTACAAATTAAGATAGAAGAGGAAGAGAGAGGGAGAGAGGGAGAGATAGAGAGGGAGGGAGGGGGAGAGAAAGAGGGAGGGGAGGGAGGGGGAAAAAAGGAGAGAATGATACAGGGAGAGAGGGAGGAAGAGACAGGAGAGAAACAGAGAGGAAGAGAGAAAATAGAGACAGAAATGATAGATATGCAGAGAAAGAAAGAGAGACAGAATGAGACAAAGCGCTGGCATTTAGAGAGAGAGGGAGGGAGAGGTAAAGACACAGACAGAAAAGGAGACTGAGGACAGAATTAGAGAGAAGAGAGAGACAGAGAGATCAAGGGGAGGAAAGAGAGACTTGAGAGGGGGAGAGACAGAGTAAAGGGAAGAAGAAAGAAGAGAAGAAACATAAACAGGTCTACAGAGTATGTGAGAAGCCACTAGATAAACGTTAAAAGAGCCAAGACACTTTGTGGTTGCCTAAACCTAAACACAATTTGAGAAAGTCTAAAAGGGACCTTAGAAATTACTCAGGCCCAATCCACCTATTTTACAGATGAGTTAAGAGAGGCCCACAGAGCCAGACTGGCTTGACCAAAATCGCCAAGCTCAGGGGCAGCACTGAGACTAGAAGCTGAGGCTTCCCATTCTCCTTCAAGGTTTTATTTTGTTTCCCTTCAATTGCCTCCCTTAGGAGGTACTAAATAAGCTTCCTTCTCCCTCAGGGAAAGATAAAGGGGTGGGGCGCTCTCTCGCGGGTTCTGCCAACTGGCAGAGCCCAGGAAAATTCGGATACTTTCTCTTCCACCTCGCAGGGGGAGAAAGAACCCAGGGAGAGCCCCACGGACTCTGGTCAAAACTACAACTCCTGCTCTCACCAACCTCCATTTCTCATGCCCCTCCCCACTCAAGGCCTACTTGACCCATCACTTCAAGGATCCCCCACCTCCTGGCCCTTCCTTTATCTAAAGCAGGCCTGAATCTCACCGCCTTCAAAGCCAAACCCTAATCTCGTGGACAGCCTTTTTTCTCTCCTTCAAGCCATAAGTATGCTGCTGCATCACACAGGGATTCATTTTAAGTCAATTTAAGTCACTCTATTTACATCCCTCAGAAAGTCTTTTTTTTTAAACATCACTTAAGTTTATTTCAGATGTAACAGCAATGTCATGTTAAAATTGACAGGTTTAATCCTTAATTGCACCAAGTAAACTCTGCCACTTCAGTATTTTTCTAAAGTTATTCCTTCCCCAGAAATGAGGGAGCCTTTCTTTCTCACTGACATAGCACAGTTTCCTGGTATTTCTGTGTAAGGACAACATATTCTTCATTGTTTCAACTGGTGACCTAGCTGCAGGGAAAATTTGAGAACAATATTCCCCACAAACAACCTCTATCTGGATGAACATCATTATTTGCATAGATTTTCTTTGCAAGCTCTGCCCCCTGGAAACTTTGTTGATTAAGATCCTACATAAATTTTTAACTGTTACAGCACTAATGGATATTTTCTCTTGAGGTCTTCTAATTAATGGGAGAGATAGTCTTTAATAATGGACAGAGAGCTGGTCTCAGAGTCAGGAAGGTCTGAGTTGAAGTTCCACTTCTGGCACAGCTGGCTCTGTGACCCAGGACTGATATCAACGCACTAACCCCTCAATGACCAAGACAACTCTTCAATGGAAGAGCACAATGAAGATTTACAATTTCTTCATCAGGATTTCCCCATAAGTCTCTCTCTTTCCCCCTCCCCTCCAAGGCAACTGGGTAGCACTGGGCCTGGAACCAGGAAGATCTGGGTTCAAATCCTGCCTCATTTACTAGCTGTGTGATAATGACCAAGTCACTTGACTACTGTCTGCCTCAGTTTCCCCCACTGTAACAAGGGAAATCTTAATAGCACCTGTCTCCCAGGGATGTTATAAGGATCCAAGGACATAATATTTACACACTGTCTGGCACACAGTAGGTGCTTGTTCTCTCCCAAGCTCTAACATCCTCCAACTCCACCCCTGTAACTATCATTTTTGGTGAGAGGTTAACGATAGTCTTCCCCATTCTAGAAATGTTATCTTCTGTTCCCCCCATACCTGGTATAGATTCATGCATGCCTTTACTCTTAGAATCATAGAATAAGAGGTCAATTTTACAGGAGACAAATCCGAGGCACAGAGAGATGAGGTGGCCTGTCCAAGACTACATAGTTTACTTGGTGGCAGAGCAAGGATGAGATCCAGTGAGTTAAGTTCCTGCCGACTCCCTTTAATGCTCTAATCATTTGAATATTGTCAACCCAGAAACCAGTTGGGTAACTCTGAATGCCCTTTGGCAGTGCAGCTTAGACCTTGCTTTTAAATGCTTGCTTAGGGAGAAGCAAGGTGGTAAAGTAGAGCACCAGCCCTGGAGTCAGGAGGATCTGAGTTCAAATCCGGCCTCAGACACATAACACTTACTAGCTGTGTGACCCTGGGCAAGTCATTTAACCCCACTGCCTAGCCAAAAAAAGAAAAAAAAAAGCTTGCTTAGTATATAACACACTTTCCCTGGATTTCAATCTGGGTTCACTCCTGCCCCTAAAAGGCCCAGCTGAAAACTTGTCTCTCAGGCCACCAGGTGCAGACAGAGGTTATTGGGGTCTCAAGGTTCTATGCCTCTATGTGCCTCAACATTGAAGAGATTCTGACCTTACCTAGGATATCTCTCTGAAATAGCCTCCGAGTCTTTTAATAAATATGTGCTGCCTCCCTGGGGCAGACACAGCTTCTACCCGGGGAAAGGACATATCCTCTGATTCTTGGGTGTCTTTCCCTAGTTACTACTTAATCTAAAGCTCTGCAGACATGAAGCACTGTGCTTAACCTTAAAGACCAGGGATCTGCAGTTAGGATGCAAGTCGTTCAACCCCTCCCCCATGGGTGTTACAAAGAACACCCAGAAGTAGGGAATAAACATCACAACCCTGTTTCTGTGTGGTGGGTAGTAAAACTGAAGGTCTTCAAATCCCAGCTGGGCCATTTCCTTGCTGTGTGATCTTAGGCACAATGCTTAACCTCTCTGATCCTTATCTGCCTCATGTATAAAATGGGGAAAGCTGTATTTTCCCTACCAATTTCCAACTGCTTCAAGAAGGATAAAATGTTTGTAAAAGCACCTTTAGTTTCCAAAGCCTGCATAGAGTAAGGTATTATTTTTATTATTCAAAGGACTTGGGGGTGGTGGAGGGGAAGAGGGAGATAGCCTCTGAGACTGAGAAAGCTATGTCACTCCACATTTGCTCCCTGTTCTCCAATTGTGGGCCTTCCTCAACATCTTCTCTTTCCTCAACAAATTTATACATCCTGTCTTTCCAGTTGAAGCTTTCAGCCCAGGCCAAGGACAGCTTCTTTTGGGAACAGAGTCCAGTAACACCAACACGAAACAGGAAGGGGAATGTTAAGTCAGGCAGAGAAGGGCCAACCCTGTTACAGCTTTCATGATGGCAAATGGGCTGCCATGTCTAAAGGCCCAATTGGTGACCAACCTACTAGGTATGGACATCTCTACACTTAGCTATGCTGGTCTTCTAGCTGCAGCCTGATCTGGAAGCCTTTTCAGCTTGAGTTAAATTCAAAACAAATAACACTTTGCTAGCTATATTGTATCTTATCCTTTCCAATGCATTTTTGCATTCATTATTCTCATCTGATTTCACAACAGCTCTGTGAGAAAAGTGGGCCTGAGATGGTTCTTGCCATTTTACAAATGAGGAAACTGAGACACTGATGAGTGACTTGCTCCAGATCACAGAATCAATGAGTGTCATAATTAGAATCCAGGTCTTCTGGCTCTCAGCTCAAAAGGAAATAATGTTAACACTAGGGAGCATCTTAGAGTTCTTCTGAAGGGCATTTACAGCTCAGGAACTGGGAGAGACCTAAATCCCCTTTATTCCTTCCCCTAACATGATATTTGCTCTTTCTTTCCCCTAGCTGCTTCAAGACCCAACTGCCTGCTTGCCACTCTACTTTTCCTTTCTCCCTGTATATGACTAGGATGAAGGAAAGGACATCTCCCCAGCTGGCTGACAGCACTTCTTTATTTGTGCAACAGGGAGCCTGTGGCAAAACTATTACCTACTCTGAGTCTGAAGCCCAAGCTTCTGCCAGCTGGGCCAAGGCTCTACCCTAATTCTCCACGGAGAAGCCTCTTACTAGGCAAAAAGTACTTGCATGTCCCCAGAACACAGACCCAGTTCTTCCCTGCAACCCATCCTGACTCCCCAGAGCTCACCCCATACCACCACCCCAGGTCAATCTGAAACACCAGTGCCTTGGAGACAGACATTTAATGAATGCTGTTGAATAGAATATTTATTTACTTGAGGCTAGGAAGGATTTTTTTTTTATCCTAGTCCGGCCCAGATGGGGTAAGGGGAAAGGGTTGGTTAAGAAGTCCTGAAGCCTGGGAATGCTTCTTGGTACCCTTGCTTGACCAGTTCTGGAGGGCAGTGGCCTCTCTAGGCACCTCCTGGTGTTGAGTGAAATTCCAGGGAGCAAACCCTAAGGTTTCACCAAAACGATGCCCCACCCCCATGACGGGTGAGAGATTCCATTTTCTTCACCTCTCCTCATGGACCTCATCTGCAAAACTAGTGGAAATAACTCCTGCAAGTTCCCCAATTCCCAAAACACACGAGGCAGACGTGCCCTTGGGAAAACGAAGCCCTGCCGCCCCATCTCCTCAACAGGGAACCTCAAGACTGAATAGAGCAGCATTCCTTAGGACAGCCCTTGCACCCCGTGGCTGCTTACTCCAAAGGGATCCAAAAGCAGTGCTCCCTTGGGGGAAGGAGAGGAATAACCAAAAAGACCCACTTGCATGGAGCTGAAGGACAGAAGTGATAAGGGTAAGAAGACAGGGTGCAGAGGAAAAATGGGGGACTCCATCTGCAAAGCAAACTCCATCCTGGAAATCCCGTCTCCCTGGGGCCCCCGGGGACCCTGCCATGAGATCCCCATCACCAACCACCGCCCTTTCCAGAGTGATTTAACCGACCACTATCCCCAAATAACTGCTCCTTGGGAAGAGGAGGAGGGAGGAAGGGGCAGCTACTCCTCATCCCCAGCTTTATTTTACTGGAGGGGGGAATGATGGGTGGGTGAAGGAGGTGCATGCTCCGTTACCCCCCTCCTTTCCTGCCTCTGCTTGCGAAGACGAAGTCCTGAGAAAATGGGGATTCCACGGGGCACGGGGTCCCCTGCTCCCAGGATGCAGAGCCCGGTCCCTTGCAAGCAGAGGGGAGCGGGTGGAGGGAGGGAGGAGAGGTAGGGAGAGAAGAGATACCTTCAAAAGTGCAGTCCATCACGGCGCCCCCCACCCCGGCGCGCACACTGCGCGCCTCCCGCCTGCCCCGGGTCCCTCGCAGGGTCCCCGGCACCCCGCTGCGCGCCCGCGGTGTCCCCCGCTCCGGCTGAGCGCGCGCACGCACACCCCCCCCCAAAACATAGGACACAAAGTAGAGCTGTCATCTGGGTCGGGTTTTTTTAAGGCACTTTCCCCCTCCTCCTCCATCCTGTCCCCTCCCGCGGCCCCGCCCCGGGGCATGGCCACGCCCCTCGTCTCATCTCCCCCTCCCCCCTCCCCTCCTGGCTCTCTAGCTCCCTCCGGGAGGAAGTGAACCCTGGAATTGTGAATCACGACTGGAACATGAGGTGATTCTCCTCGGCCAATCAGCGGCCGCACCGTCCTCCTGGCTACCAGCCCCGCCCCGCCCCGCCCCGCGGCCACGCAGCTCCCCCCCCTACTTCCTCGGCAAAGGTGAATGGGCCGGGGTTACTCGCGGGCGTTCAGTCTTCGCCCTCCGCCCAGGCGGGAGGGGGCGGGCCGGGTTACTCTCGGTCACTGGCGGACAGCGCCCCGCGCTCCCACGTGCTGAATGCCTGCTTAGCTGCTTATTGTATGCCCAACGCAGCGCAGAGCCCCCGGAGGAATAATAACAACCACACGCTATTATTATTGACGTAGAGAGCTCTTTTAAGTCTGCAAAGTGCCTTACATACGATATCGGGGGCAGGGAACATCCCCATTTTGCAGATAAGGAAACTGAGGCTCGACGAGCTTAAGAGAATGGCCTAGGGTCTAGCAGTGCATGGGGGGGGTCGGTTTTTAAAACCATCATCTTCCAGACTTCAAGTCCAACACGCTGTCCACTCCACCACGGTCTGAAGGTGGCAGGGACCTGACTGGTCACCCAGTTCAACCTCTTTCATTTTAAAGATGAGGAAAAGTGAGGTCTGGGATGTAAGAGCCTCTCAGGCGTATCACGGGTGTCAGGGAACGCTAGGGTGATGAAGAAATAAAGACTCATTTACTGGGAGGGAGGGAATAAACTCTTCCATGAGGGCCTACTAGCCCAAAGGGAGTTTATGAGGCCAAGGGAGCTGAAGTCACACAGGTGGGAACTGCAGAGTTCAGCTCCCAGGCATCTTCTCGGCTGCATCCCTCGCCTGGACCAGTCCCCCTCCTCGGCTCTGACTATTGACCTCCCTGGCTTCCTTGGTGTCCTGACTAAAAGCCCACCTTCTACCAAAAACCTTCTCCAACCCCCTCTTCCTTCTACTGCCTTCCCTCTGTTAATTATCTCCTGTTGATATTTATTTGATTGTTTATATTTAGTAACTGTATCTAGTATGAAGCTTGCTTAGTAAGTTGTTATTTGCCTGTTGGTTTCCTCCATTGGATTGTAAGCTCTTTGAGGACAGAGATCGTTTGCCTCTTTTTGTATCCCCTTCACTTAGCAGACTGCTTGGCAAATAGTAGGCACTTAATAAATGTTGATTGATTACATCCAGGTACTCAGAAGGTGGCACTTACTCATTCGAATTTCCCACACCAGCTAAGGTAATAATAAAGCAGGGATTTATACTTAGCTTTAACGAGCTTTACATACAGTTATCTACATTACGGTGTCTTGTCCAGAATAAGTACATAATAAAATATTGTTGAAATGAATTGGAGGAGTACCACAGAATAGTGGAAGGAATGCTGATCTGAGTTCAAATCCCACCTCCTCCACTAGTGTCTGTAACAGGTAAAACCAGGAAAACACCACCCAAGGTGCCTAACGTTTTAGAATTGCTTCTAGGAATTCAAATGAAATACTGCATGCAAAGTGCTTTGCAAACCTTACAAGGTTACTTGGGCACTTAACACCCTCACTACCAGGTAGGTTAAAAAAAAAAGTTCTGTGGTAGTCTCTCCCCTTTTCCAACTGTGTAAACTAAGGCACAAAGAGAAGGTAGAGACCGGAGACAAGGTTGGTTTCCTTTAAAGACCTATTTTAAGGATTCAAACTCTCAAATGATGGTATTGCCCATGAATTGCATCATCCAGGAAAACTAAAATGGGAAAGGAAGTGAGCCAATCATGAAGCAATCGTAAGGGAAAGCGACAGACTGAGGGCTACAGTGATACCCACTGACTGTCAAAAGACCTTATGGCCTCGAGCATGCTGGGTAGATGGTCAGGGGAGGACATTCACATGCTTTCAAGAATTGCACAGGATTAAAAGGATGGGTGCGTTATGATTTCTCCCCAAAACCTTCATTAGCCAGCTCCTTATCCTCTAAATTCTTCAGTCTAGCATTTAAATCCCTCCAACAGACCTCTCCCAGTCTTTATTCCCCACCATTGCCTATATTCCAGCAAAAGTGGAATATTAGCTTTTCCCTAGAAGGAAGCAGAGACAAGAAGGGCAGTTTTTAAAATAAGGAATAGAATTTATTATATACTCCTAAAAAGCAAGTGGAGTGAAATGGAAATTCAGTTTCCTATAGAATCCTCTTTTTTGTGTGATGCTACATTGTGTGGAAATGTTCTTTTCTTGATTTTTAACTTTAGAATTTAAAAAACAAATAAATGCTTAGGGTTGCCTAACCTTTTGACCATCTCCTGCCTCTGGGCAAGCCCTCATCCATCCCTAGGGATATGTTTCTTCTCATCTCCGCTTTTCAGGAAGGTAGAAAACAAGTATTTATTAAGTATTTACTATGTGCTAGATTCTCCCAAATAAGTGCTTTTGTGATCCCCATTTTACAGCTAGAAAACTGAGGCTTCCTGACTCTAGGCCCCATGCTCTTAACTACTGCCTATTTAGCTGCCTTTAGAACCCTTCCAGCTCTTTCAAGATTGGTCCTCTTCCAGAAGGAAGGACAAACAGTCCTTCAAGATTCAGCTCAAGGTACTTCTTCCTCCAAGGACTCCTTGATTCCTCCCTGCCCCCTCCGGTTAATACTTTTCCATAAGTTACCTTTTAATCTATGTACATACCATCTATGATATCACATATATGTATCTACTACATCTCCCCCCTAGCACCCCAGCATGTTAGCCTTTTAAGGGTAGGGCCTGTGTGTTTTTGTATAAGCCCTATCATGTATGTTTGTTGAACTGAACTGAATTGAATTGTACAATTGGAAGGGGTTTCCACATCTATGATAATTAACGTATGAAATAAAGGCTAGGGGCTCCCAGTGAATTTGTGTCTCCAGAGACTGTCTACATTTTAGAAGAGGCCAGCCACAAGAGAGCAAATGTTTAAACTGAAGGAATAAGGCTCTAATAATGTTAGAATTTCAGTTATCAGAAAGCACGTTGAGGGCACGGAGGGAGAGTCGGAAATGTTTTTGGAGCTGGCCATTCCTCAGTACCAGTTCCTTACCCCACCCACCCACTCTCACCCCATTCTTTCACACCTCATTCTATAAGAAAATAGTCTAAGTGTCTACCAGGGGCAAGGACACAGGTTTTGGGGGTCAGGAATCTTTGCTCTTCCTAGTTGTGTGAGACGTTGGGCAAGTCACTGTCCTCGATGCATTTCAATCCAAGCAGCATTTATTAAGGCTTTCTATGTGCTGGGTGCTGGAGACTCAAAAATAAACAGTCCTTGATGTCCAGGAACTTTCATTTGGTCAGCTAGGTGGCACAGTGGATAGAGTGTTGAATTTGGGAAGATTAGAATCTGAATCCTGCCTTTAGGCACTTACCAATTAAGTGCCCCAGGATAAGTCACTCCCTCCTCAACTCCACCCTCTCCCCTCCCCCATTTCCCCAACAGTAAAATGGGGATAATTAAAGCACCTATCACACAGGGTTGTGGTGAGGATAAACTGAGACAACATAAGTAAAAACCTTTGTAAACTTTTAAATCACTATATAAATGCTAGCTATTTACATTCTACTGGGGGGACAGCTTCATGCAGTTGAAAAGTAAAAAATACCAAACTTGGGGTTGGGGGTGAGGTGGGATCCAGAGGAATTAGAAGAGGCCTTTTGTAAGAGGTAGCTAGCTCCTCATCTGACTGAGCCTTGGAGAGGTGGAAGTGAGAAGGGAGAATATTCCTGGCATGGGGAAAGAAGGGGAAGCCTTCTCAAAGGCTTTGAAGGCACTAATTCTGCAAGTTAGGAGCTGGCATGTCGAGTGGTAGAGAAGTCTGGCTGGAATGTAGACTGTTGTTGAGATGGGGTGTGATGTGTAATCAACCTGGTCAGAAAGGCTGGGGCCAGCGTGGGAAGGGCTTCAAATCCTGAACGAAGAGGTTGCTGATTTACTTGAACGTCCAAAGGAAGGCACTGAAGCTGCCTGAGCAGGGGAGTGACAGTTTGGGAGACTCCGTTTCCTTTTTTTGTAAAATGAAGGGATTGATATAGACCAGGGGTTACTGGCGGAAGCCTAGAGACAGATGGTGGTGCAGTGGATAGAGAGAGCCCTGGACCTAGAGTCAGGAAGATCTGGGTTCAAATCTAGCTTCAGCTGTGTAAAGCTGGGCAAGTCACTTAACCTCTGTCTACCTTGGTTTCCTCAACTTTAAAATGGCACCTACCTCACAGAGCTGTTCTGAGTATCAAATGAGATATCTGTAAAGCACTTAAGCACAGTGCCTGGCATGTAGTAGGCACTTAATAAATGCTTATTCCAAGGGGCAGCTAGAGAGCATACATATTTAAAAAAATGCTTATTTCCTTCCTGAGGGATGCACAGAGCCTCAAATGGTCCATGAAATCCATAGATTTCAGTGGGTCCTTCAACTTGAATTGAGTAGAAACTATTTTTATTTTCACTAACCTTTGGCAGCTAGCATTTCCCTGAATTATTTAAAAACATTATCCTTTTTATTTTTAAGGCAATTGGGGTTAAGTGACTCGTCCAGGGTCACACAGCTAGTAAGTGTCAAGTGTTTGGTCTGAGGCTAGATTTGAACTCAGGTCCTCCTGACTTCAGGGCCAGTGCTCTATCCACTGCACCACCTAGCTGCCCCCGGCCCTTCCCCTTTTTCCACATGGAAACTCGACAGATGGCAGAAGAGATTCCAGGAAAAACAAGTTTTCATCCCCTTGGACTTCTGGGCAGTTTTCCCTATGTTCAGAAGGGTGGCTGGTCTGTGTGGTTTTTC